TTCCAAATGGGTACGTTCTAAGAACTCAATTATCAATTTTTATATATGTAGAATTAATTGATTATGAAATATTATTGAGTTTATAAAACTGATGACTAAATTGAACTAACAAGAACTTAACTTATTGGATTAACTTAATATAAAATATATGAACATTTATAGTCTTTTGTAAATAAATTAGATTGATTAGTGTGCGTATTTGGATAGCGAAACATGATTTGTTGAGGAGGTGGTTTAGGACTTTTAGAAATAATGTAATTGTTAAATTAGTTTAGAACATTGAACAAATTAAATTACATGATTATTTATTATGGATTGGTGATTTAAGGAGAAAGATAAATTAGAATTAGTTAAATTAGTTAACTAGATAACCATTAGTTTAAAAACTAGCCGATTGTGCATAAGAAGAAGTAAGGCGAATTTTAGTTGGTTAAGGTTAGAAATCCCGAAAATTTGATAAAATTAAGATTTGGGAGGCCTAGCATTTTCGATATTGAATATAAAAATCGAATTTGACATAGGTAGTAGTTATAATTAGTGATGTTAAAAAATATGTTGTTTTTAGCTGTTTAAACAAATTAGTTAACCGTAAAGCTAATAATTTTAATTAATTTAAATGACTTAATAAATGATCTTAATTGGATAATTATTAGAAATTAGTTTGTAAATTTTTGGTTGAGTGTTGATATTGTTGTTATGGAAGGAGGAAATGGGATTTTAAATTGATTGATTGCCCGTCGGATTGGGCTGTGTGCATTGATTGATAAAGATATAATGATATTGTGATATGTGAGCAGGTAGATAGTTCAATTTTTAGGGGAGGTGCTGCCGAAATTTTGATAAAATTAGACTAAATTTTTATTTAACAACAATAATTAATAAGTTTATTTAGATTTAGTTCTATAATTTTTGGTATATAATATATAGTGCTCGAATTATTTACTATCTTATTAGTTCATTTAATTATTTGCATATTTATTTATTTATTTTTTCAATTATTATTGTTAATATTGTTATTTTATTTTATTATTGTTTGATTTAATTGTTTAATACTAATTTATTTATTTATTTGCAATTGATTTTGGATGTTTAATTGTCATTGCATTACGATGTTTTAATTGATTAATATGTCGCAATTTGATTGCAATGTTTGGATTTATTGTGTTGTGATAATGCTATGCTTTGTTTGGTGTGGAATTGGGAATGAAGTGGACCACCGTGGGTTTTTTTGTGAGGACGGTTTGTGAATATGGATCCGAAATATTATATGATATTTGACCGTCGGCCGAGAAAATGGGAGATCGGCTGCCCCCGTGTGCACCTGATGATAATGGATTATGTGGGAAAACCAACAGGATGGCTTTCTTGTTGTTGGGCGCACCTGATTAATCTAGAATTTTGATTGTAGCCCCGCAGGGTGGCCTCCTGTTGTGAGCACTTGATGATCCCTAGATTGGATGGAGACCACCGGGTTGCCTCCTGTTGGTATGGAAAAGAAAAGAGAGAATGGAAAATACATGAGAGGACTGGTCCAGTGAGGATTAAAAACAGTTGGCCGTATGGGGGATCGGCTCCCTGGTGCACATGTATGAGAGGCGAGCCATGGTGTGAGGACGGCTCGTTTGGGGTTTCAGGTGGGCGCCAACTGAACTAATTTCCACTTGATGTGATTATATGAAGATGTTATGAATTGTGAAGTGCCTGGTGGATATGCCATTTGGTGTGACTGGCTGCGTGAAGCATATTACACTAGTCGGATGACTTAGATTAATTATGTGTACACATTTGTGTTGACTGTGGTGTATTTGTGCAAATAATTATTACTCCTTAGAAAACTCACATGTCTGTTTGATTTTTCAAGGAAGTAGTTTTTTTTCCCTTTAATCCGAATTTAGGCTATGTTTCTTCTCGTCTTCGGCGCAGGGCAATAAACAATTTTTCCCTAGATCCATAAAATTATTTTAACTATGTATACTAAACAGTTAGTGAACTCGCGCAGTTTGTATGATTTGTATACTTTTAATCGTTTATTATTATAAGACGAGATAATTAATGTGGAAATCCATATTGTAAATGTGAATGCATTGTTTAAATTAGGCGCGAACTGTGGAATGTTGTAGCCGATAATTCGGGCCGAGATTTAATAAAAAAATCTTGAGGTTATATTTTCATAATCATATGGACTAAATGTTTTTAATATTATATTGAAGATAGGTAAATTTTTTAGTGTTTCAGGCTTACTAACGGGCTCTCGGGGCCCTTAGCTTACCTGGGCCCTGTGCCGGTCCTGGCCGCAACGGAAATGGGTCGTGAACAGTTTAATAGACAATTAACGATAACTACGTACTAATTAAACTTTATTTTAGAGATTATTGCTTAATAGATAATTAATGTTAACTATATAATTAATAAATATATTTTATTTTTAATTATTTTTAAGGTTTATATAATAGGTTATCCGCATTAAAATTAAAAATTCTTTTATTTACTATTATGCGTTTTTAATTTTATTCAATTTAGGATTTAAATTAAATGTTAGAGCTAAATAATGTTACATATTTCATATATTTATTATATACAGTTATTTTGCTCTCTTTAACTTAATAGATAATAAAATAAATTTAATAGATAATAAAATAAATTTATAATTTATATTCTACATGCATGTGTGAATAGAGGAGAATTATGAGATTTCCTAAAGTAGCCTTAGTTTAATTTGGAATTCCTAATATACCATTTTAATTAATTTTTTATTCACTTTAATCAGAAAAAATAAGTCTATTTATTTTTTTGAAGATCCTTTTTAGTTCTATGTTTAATGTCTTTTAATCGGAAAAAAATAGATTCCATTTTATACTTTTGAATATCATTTTAGTTAGATTTTTTATGCATTTTAATTCAAGAAAATATGTTTATATATATATATTTTTTATATTTGATCATGCAATATGATTGTCGAATGATTTTCATAATTAATAGTTTTTTATATTCTTAATCATATTTTCATGTTATATTACTATTTAGGAGGTAAATCAAAAACATTAATTCAACTATTGAAAATGGAATTTAAATTCTAATTAATTTATTATATCTGAATTGTTTAAAATATCATTAAATACTTTATTATTAGACTATATTATTTAATTAAAATTAAATTAAAATAATTTTTTTAAAATATATTATTTCTCTTTGATTTTTTTAGAGAGGATGGTGTACACTTATTTGAATCATTTACATATTATTGTATTTTAAAATTTTCTAAATTTAATAAAAGCAATGGAAGTATGAAATTCTAGTATTTGATTATTATCAAAAAAAAAAGAAATTTTTTCTTTTTTAATGTAATGAAATCTTTTTGAAAAAAATAGGTTAAAAATGTTTGAATTTGCTATCATTTTTATTTTCAACTTTTCTATATTCGAAATGAAATAAAGAAAAAATTCAAAAGCTCTATTTTTATTTAGTATTTTATTCTTTTATTTTTTAAAATATATAAAATTTTATTTAATTTTTCTATGATTTAATTGGATATGTTTTTTTAAATATTTTTTAAATAGATATAAAGATAATTAGACCTTTGAAATTTTTGAAATTTTATATTTTTTGAAATATTTAATTAGACCTTTGAAATTTTAATATTTTTTGAAATATTTTTTATATATAACTTTGTAATTTTTGAATTTAATCTCATTTATATATATTTTTTAAACTTGATAGAGTGCATTTCATTACTAATATTATTGTTTATAATTTTACATATTGATTCCTATGTGGGGTTGAGAACTTTAAGCAATTTATTTTTTGATTATATGCAAAGCTATAGTCCAAAATATTACGTGTTGTTGATAAAATTTTAGTTTAACTTTATTCGATGAAAATAATTGATATAGAGATCAAAATCATATATTTTATTGTGGCTATGCAGAGTAAGTATTGATTCATTATGTTAATGTTATATTATCTCCAAATTATAGAATATTTTTCTATTGTAAATGTAAATTTATAGTAATTTTATATAATTAATAATAAAATTATATTTTTTTTTATTAAAGCGAGAAACAAAAACATTATTTTCTTTTCAATTAAATATTACATACAAGACATGCTATAAAATTTCATTGTATATATAAAATGCAATATTAATTAATTATTGTATTTATTTTAATCTAAATAAAAATTTATACTTTAATATTATATAAATAATAAAATTAAACAAGCATGTAATGAGTAAAGTTAATGTGTAAGCACATAATAAAAGAACCAGTAGAGAATAAAATACATCGGTTGTAAGTTTTGAAAAAGCTATATGCCTCATATAGATTACACAATATTAATATTTTTATTTAATAATAATAATAATAATAATATTCATGCAATGCTGGCAGACTACTAGGGATGACGTATGCTATTAATTTAATCAACATGTCCCGTCTGCTTAATTAGATTTCCCTTTGGTCAGCAAAATGTTTACCACCTTATGAAAAGGGAAGTCATAATTCATTATTGCCTTGTGACCGACCACTCTTTCAATTATCTATATTATATTAGGAATGAGTATTTAAATTTTAATTTAAATTGATTTTTTTAGTTTCGTTCCGTTTGATTTATAGTTTTATACATTAATTTTAGTTTTTGATTTTTACTTAATATATAAATAATTTTAAAAATTAACCAAAAAAAAAAGTGCAATTCGATTTTGAACGTAATTTGATTTCAATTTTTTAGAAAAAGGGCAATTCAGTTTTCAATTTTGCCTTATAAATGATATATAATTATATTCACAAACAAGTCAATTCAATATGGAACTTTGTAAATTTGAATTTTGCTCCACAAAAATACACTCAAATTCGAAATATTTTGATTTAGCTTTAATTAATTTTGACTTATTAAAATGAGTTTGTTAAACAAATTCGATTTCTGTACTTGACAAGAGTGAGCTTTTATCAAATCCATCCTTTGAGCGACTTGCTCGATTTCTTCACAACCCTAGCTATTATTATTAGTCAGGTTCCTAGCATAAAGCACCAGAAGCAGATATGGGCCGGCTTGTTGTACCTAAAGGATTCCATTTTGGTTTCAATTTCTGGGTTGGACTTTTTACCATTAACAGTTGCAGATTGCAACACTCGCCGATACAATACTCACTTCAAACAAAATCTGTTTTCTTCAGTATTATCATGGTTTGAGGTCCTCAAACATATAGCGGCATGCATGCACTGGCCCTTCTGGGCCACCGCCTGTTCTCTCGAGCAATTGATCGAACACTTTGTATCTCCTATATATCCGTTCATCTAATTCCTTGCAGTTTCAGCTTTCTCTGTACACAAGCAACAGATAAATTTACCGAAAAACTGAAACTAGAGTCAGAAGAACAACCCAAGTGTTTATCTTTGAGAATAGAGAAACTTCCAAGAGGCGAATTGGTTGGATCAGCTTTTCAAAGCTGGATGCGTGAAGGATTTCCCATTCATCGAGGTGACATTTTCCATGCTGTTAACCGCTTGAGGAAGCTCAAACTCAATAAACGCGCTCTTGAGGTATTTCTCTCTCTTAACATTTTGGCTTTTCCATTTCAATTCGGTAAGGTGTTTGTTAAAATGTTTAAATGAGTTGAAAAGAACAGTGGAAAAGGAAAAAGAAGAAAGAAGAAAATTTGAATTTGGAATTTTTTTTGTATTGGTTTTTATTTCAAAGAAAGAAAGCAGCAATTCAATCAAGTCATAACTTTTGGATGGTTTAGTTGTAGTTGAATTTGTCTTGGTAGATGGTGAAGAGATCTTATATTTCTACATATTGATATTTTTTATTGGTAATCAAACGAAAGGGTTTAATCAAACATAACTAGTAGTCTGTTTCTAGTATGCTGTAATGGGATGTGATATAACCCAATCAAAATGCATTCTTAGTGTGAGCATTGAACTAAGTCTATTAGCCAAAGATCATTAATTATCATCAATAATTTTTGTAGAAGTAGGTGTATGTTGTACTTTAATTACTAAAATGTATAATTTTGTTGAGATGTGACATTGCAATCTTGATTATATTTGAGAATATTGGGTCTTAAAATTGCATAGTCTATTGCCTTTGGCAGGTTATGGAATGGGTGATTAGGGAGAGACCTTACAGGCCAAGGGAACTTGACTACTCTTATCTATTGGAATTCACAACCAAACTTCATGGGATATCACATGGCGAAAAGCTCTTCACTTGTGTCCCGCCTGAATTCCAAAATGAGTTGCTATATAACAATCTTGTAATTGCTTGCTTGGAAAAAGGTGTAATAAGGCTTTCGCTTGATTACATGAAGAAAATGAGGGAATTGGGTCACCCCATTTCATATTTGATTTTCAATCGCCTTATAATCCTTCATTCCTCCCCTGGCCGTAGGAAAATGATCCCAAAAATCCTGGCACAAATGAAGGCTGATAAGGTGGCTCCTCATGTCTCCACGTACAACATTCTGATGAAAATTGAAGTTAATGAATACAACATTGAAGGGTTGCTGAAGGTATTTGGTGAAATGAAGAGATTCAATGTTGAGCCGAACGAGATATCTTTCTGCATATTAGCTACTGCGCATGCTGTTGCCAGAATGTATACTGTGGCCGAAGCATATGTTGAAGCTGTGGAGAAGTGCCGCACAGGAGATAACTGGTCAACTCTAGATGTTTTGATTATATTGTATGGATATTTGGGGAAGGTGAAAGATTTAGAGAGAACTTGGGGCATTGTGCAAGAACTCCCCCGTGTTAGGTTTAGAAGTTACATGTTGGCAATTGAAGCATTTGGTAGAATTGGGCAGCTCGGTCGAGCTGAAGAGCTTTGGTTAGAGATGAAGTCATTGAAAGAGTTGAAATCAACAGAGCAATTCAATTCCATGTTATCTGTGTACTGCAAATATGGGCTTATTAAAAAGGCAACTGCAATTTTCAGGGAAATGGAGATAAATGGATGCAAACCAAATGCCATTACTTTTCGACATCTTGCTTTGGGTTGTTTGAAGGCTGAACTAGTGGAGGAAGCCTTGAAAACTCTAGAAAAGGGGATGCAATTGAAAACAAGCAAGAAGGTAAGGAATTCGACCCCATGGTTGGAGACTACTCTTGCAATTATTGAAATTTTTGCAGAGAAAGGTGACATAGTTAATGTTGAGAAATTGTTTGATGAAACCAGCAAAGCAAGGTATACAAGACATACTTTTGTGTACAATACACTAATAAAAGCTTATGTGAAGGCCAAAACTTATGTTCCCGATCTCCTGAGAAGAATGATTTTAGGGGGTGCTAGGCCAGATGCTGAGACTTACAGCCTGATTAAACTCATTGAGCAGTATCGAACTTGATTTTGTACTAGAGTTTATATGTTGTATGTATTTTGATATTTTATTCATTTTTCTTAACAGAAAAATACTTTTCAAGATTATGAAAATAACATTATTTGTTTCTTAAATGGTCATTCCAAGTCTGAGATTTAGGCCAAAGTGAAATAAAGGATTCATTCTCCTTACTGTTCAAAATTTTTTGCCAAGCAAAAAATCCTAATTGATAAACAAATTGATAAGATCAGGTCCAGCATTTGATAAACACAGTAGCAAATACCAAATGCTAAAATGAACGAGACAATTTGGAAATAATCACCAATTTTACTTGCATACAGAATCTGAGAAGAGTACAGAATCTGAGAAGAGTCGATTCTATGGATGCAGAAAATATAAAACCTGCATTCAAGGAGAATTTCAAGTAGTGATGTAGATAAAACAGATTCTTTCTAGTAAACATCAATTGTTCGATTTTACAGTCCGACATATGATGAAAGTAACACGATAATCATTATATCTAACACCAAAAATTTTCCACGGTACGAACAGTTCAAGCTCCGGTCACAATTCAGGTGAGATAGTTGAGGAACGTTGCCGCAGTTGCAATGGCACCTCCGGTTATGGCATCTGTGACAATCTTGTCTTTGCCCTTGTTACTGGCAGCAGATATCAGTGCTCCGGTCAATGCACCACCGAGCATAGCATTCTTCTGCAATATATTCGGAGCAGAGAACATGAGATGATGCAAAATATACATTTGAAACTGAAATAATAAAGAGCTAAACAAATGCTTAAAATGACAACTGGATTCTTACAAACAAATCCTCACAAATTAAAAAGGAAAGAAAACTGATACTAGTGATGAAAGTATTTGAAGTTCTAACAAGTTGTAGCTGCATAGACAATAACACAAGTTAAATTATCAGAGACAGCATACCCAGTCTCGGGTGCCACGAATCCTCTCCATCCCGTATTCCATTCCGACATACACTCCAGCAACAGTTCCTGTAAGCACAATAAATTACATTCCTATTAATATAGGTTTCATGTTCTAGCAACACAAGCCAACAGAAAGGTCTAGTTGCTACTTGCTGCCAAGGAAAACACTATATTGAAAATATATTAATTTGAGGTTGTTAAAATTTTGCTTTTAAGATGAATTTCACATGTTCTAACTATCAAAGCAATTCAAATTGCTAAATATTTTCAAATTGTTTTTCCCAGTAGCATTTATAAAAAAAAACAGTTTCAACCTCACTGACATACAGACTCAATAGCATTTAAAATGGAAACAAACGTGATACATAACAAAGCACATTTCAATAGTTAGCCTATGCAAATATAACTCGTGCTTACCCCAATAAGCACCTTCTTTGCACATCTTTTTCAGCTGCAACCACAAACCATAGTACCTCCCATTAGTAAAAAAAATCAAGAATGCACCATTTCCCTTCATTACAGAAAGTTAAGATAATACTTTCAGAATAAATTTTTATTGCATTACACACTTCGATAAAAAAAAAAAAATAAATAAAAAAAAAAAAAAAAAAAAAAAAAAAAAAAAAAAAAAAAAAAAAAAAAAAAAAAAAAAAAAAAAAGATGCTCTGTGTATGGTTAGTTTTCTTTGACCTTCTAGAATCAAAACTCAAAATCAAAAGTATTGAATTGCAACAGAAAGGAAAACAGTTATGGAAGATGGAAATTAATCTATACTCCATTTCGAATGAACAAATAAGCAAGCAGAGCAAGAAGCGTAAAAAATTTCAGGAATTCCATAATTATCATCTAGCCAAATCTCATTTCTTGGATATTGGAGACAAATAACTATCTATATACAAAAGAATAACAGATAAAACGGGTAGTAGTAAGTAGCAGTTAAGCAAATCATCATAAATCAAGATCATGATGCTTTAACTCAGGTTTTCCTCAAATCCAAAAAAAAAAAAAAAAAAAAAAAAAAAAAGGAACAAAATTATTATTTTTCATTCAATCCAATTGAAACGGAAATTCCCAAATGGGATTAGAAAAGCTTACAGTTTGCTCAAGATTGCGACGAGAAATGTTCCCTGCAAATACGAAATTGGTGTTTTAGTGGGGTTTAATTAATTTGCCTAAAGCATCTCATATCTGATCAGCTAACTCAAAAGGAAAAAGAAAATCCAAATCATTTTATGTATTCCTAGTTCACACGCAAACACAAAACAGAGAGAGAAACGACCTCGTTTAACGACATAATATGCATCCTCTGCAAGTGCTCTAGTAGCTGCAACCTGCAAAAGAATTACCAACACACAACCATAAATAACCGAAACAGCAAAACAGTGATTTTGTTATTTAAAGTAGAAAAGATAAAATGAAAGATACAGTTCCGATCTTCAAGAAACCATCGACAGTGAGATTGAGGAAGGGATTGCCCATGTCGATTGCCACATCAACTCTTGGGGTTGATAAAGAACCTGCAAATCTTTTACTTGGCATTTTCTCTTCTCTTTCTTTCTTTCTTTCTTTCTTTCTTCTTCTTCTCTTCTTTTTCTTCTCTCACTCACATATACTCTGTTATAGCAGAAGAGCGGTGAATTTTTCAGTCTTATTTTGTTTGTTTCTTGTTTATTTTATTATTTTCAACTTCGTGCGGATGACATTTGCATAATATTCAGTTCAGAACAGGAAAATAATAATCTTGCTCATTCACCTGTACGAGCCAAAATACGCCACCGTGTAAAGCCAGATCGAACTTTTCAAGGGACGGAGAATTAGCACTAGCTTTCGCCGTTGGTTGAGGTAGTGGACGTGACGTGATGCATGTGAGTGACTGACTTTTGTCATCTTCTAATCATTATTAATGGTATCATACTTTGAGTAATAAAAAACCAATTCCATAACGTTTGATGAAATTTCATATTAGTGTGGTTATCATTATTGGAAAATAACTTTCTAAATCTTTAGATATTTAAGGAACTAGAAAAAATCAGTCACCTTGTGAAACGAAAATCAAATCATTTGTAAAGAAAATATTTTTTTATTTAAAAAAAAGAAAATATTTTTATTTAAAAAAGATAATATTTTTTAAACATTGATATATTTATTATAATTTTATAAATATACATTTATTCATTTATTAATCAGAAGTAGTTAATACCGTGTTCATTTATTAATCACGATATTTGATACCATTAATCACACATCTTCATATGCCATCTCTACAGTCATTAACCATCGTCACCAATTATCAACAATTATCGTAATTTATCATTTTTATGTATTTTTTTATAATTTAACAATAAATTTTTAAAATATAATTTACCCTTTTTATCTATTAACTTCACGGAAAGTGAATTAGGCTGTTTGATTCAATTTATAAAATTTTAAAATAAATAAATTTCTGCTGGGTCATTCTCATCCCATGAGGCATAATCCTAAGCCGACCGTTAAAACTTAAACCATTAAACCAGTTAATGAACGACACCGTGCTAGAGACTGCAATTAAGTGCAGCTCCAAGTGCGAGATAGGTTTGTAATTTTTTTTTTTTTTTCCACGATCGCGCTTTGTTTTTTCTTTTGTATAAAATTTGTTCTGTTTTGCCTCCTTCATTTCATTTATTTTTCCTGTACTATTTCTGTATTTGTTATTTACTGGGTTGATCAATTCTGTTTATTGTTTATTGAGTAATTTGAATGTGGCGAAGAATTGTTATGGTTGAGGGAAATTTCTTAGTTTGCCTTGATGGGTTGTGTTTTCTTTCTTTTTGGTTTCTTCATATATGGCTTCACACACATTGCTTATACAGATTCTGTTGCAATTCTGGTTTGACTGATTCTGTTCTTGTGGAGCTAAAACATATTTAAGCTTTTCCAAGTTGTTCATGCAGTACAGGAAGGCGCATGTTCATACAGAGTAATTTTACCATTTCATTGGTCTAAAATATGGGGTTGAATGTTCTAATTTTAGCCTCCTTAATACGTATGTGTATGTGCAGTTTGAGGATAGTATAATTTTCTGGCTGAGAGATGCTTCAATGACTGTGCGGACAGCTTTATCCGCAAATCGCTTCAGAAGCAAGAGGAAACCTGTGTCATGAGATGCGCTGCAAAATACTTGAAGCACTCATTGCGCGTCAGCATGAGGTTTTCTGAGCTCAACAATAATCAGTAACTCAACAGCCAATACCATGTGATAATTACAACAGAAACTAAAGGGTTCAATTGTTTGCTACAACGATACAAGTGTTCTTTTGATAGAGTAAATTGGAATCATTAAAACATAATTCAGCCAATTTTCAATTGGGAAGAAAGCTTATTTTGAGTCTACAGTTTCTGCTTCAATGTTCTTTTGTAATAGTCGCTACAGAATTGCTATCTGACAATAAATGATTATTCTTTGTATTAACTATAACCAATCATTACCACAAGTAAATGAAATTTTACAAATGACAAATTACTCTTTTTTCATAAATAGGTAACATGTTGCATATACTCACATTTCTCATAACTGTTAATCTTCACTTGGGTGGAGATCCAAATCTTTCAAGTGAAAAATTAGCCTTCTTTCAACATTTAAATTTCATCTATAACACATTCAGATTCAGGGAAAAGAGAGAGAATCACTAGATAACAATCACATAAGCTTTAAGCATATTCAAAATTGCTGCTACTAGGGAAAGATCAAGCTGCCTTGAGAATCAATAACCAGCAATCAATTAAGTACATATCGAGATGAAAATGGTGCTTTCATACGAAAGATTGAAAAAAGCAATAATTTATACATTCATTACACACATCGTACGCAAACATTTGAACATTCACTCCTGATCTGTTTCTTTTTTTTTTTTTTTTTTTTTTTTTTTTTTTAAAGGAAACTTGAGAGAAGTTCTCAAACATGCATACGCAACCATGAAACCGAGTACTTCAGTTGGTGCAGTAATAGTTGCCTATAATACTGAACTGGATAGAATCACACCTTCTCTGGATCCCTGCAAAAACATCAAATTTAACAATAAGCTATCAAGTAATCCACTTCAAAAGCAGCAAGCAGTCTCATATAATAAAAGTCTAATTGCATTGAACCCAAGAAAGTAGGTTGAAGATATTTGCTAGGAATGTTTGAATCTGGGATGTTCATAGCCAGTTTAAGATGAATGAATCATATACTTGAAGTCGAATTTAGAGAACAATAAATTTTTAGGAATAGAAACTGACATGTTAACATTAAAAAAACAAAAAAAAAAAAAAAAAAAAAAAAAAAAAAAAAAAAAAAAAAAAAAAAAAAAAAAAAAAAAAAAAAAAAAAAAAAAGAAGACTACCATAATAACAATTATGAGCATTTGAAGATTCAATAAAAGAAATAACCAAACTCAGGCTGTGCAATGGTTACCATTTGTCCATTTTCCAAACAGACTTACATAATCAATAAAAGAAATAGCCAAACTCAGGCTGTGACCATTTGTCCAGTTCCCAAACAGGCTCACAATAGACATTCAATTCAAGTATAAGCAGTCACTGATTTTGTCCCACTTATTGATGTCCACATGGTACAATTTTGTTTCATCGAGAAAACATAAGAAATAGAGCAAATAAATAACATAACCTAAGTCTCTTCATTTGAAGAGATAAAAAGGAATACATGGCACCAGAACACAAAGGTAATTTTAAGACCATCAGAGTATATTATACACAGGTAAAAAATTCAAACAGGGACCTAGATTGGTTACCTATACCACCAAGGGGTCACTCTTCATGATGGCGCTTCTTGCTCCTCTGCTCAGATCTCTTTGTACCCCTTCCAACCCGTGAGTCATCCGAGACACTCGCATCAGAATCAGATGGCGGTGCAGGCTTTCTGCTCTTCCTTCTGTGCCTTCTGCCAGAGTCATCAGATGCAGCAGAATCAGAATCAGAATCGTCAGAATATCTATGACTTCTCCTCCTCCTCTTCTCCTTCCTACTCTTCCTCTTGTAGCGCTGCCTCCGCTCTTCCTCTTCCTCAGAGGAGTCATCCCTCTTCCTCCTCTCCCTCTTCCTCCTCTTCTTTTTACCTTCATCCTCATCCTCTGAATCACTAGTCCCCCTCTTCTTGGTCCTCCTTTTCTTAGATCGTCCTCTTTTCTTTCTCTCTCCAGAATCAGAATCCGACGCATCTTCATCAGAATCATCCTTCTTCCTAGATAACCTCCCCTTACTAACACTCTTTTTCCCATATCTTTCAGCAATAATCCTCTCAATCTCTGAGTCCACCTCAGAATCCGAAGTGTCACTCTCATCCTCCTCTTCCTCACTTTCTTCCTTACTTACAACCCCTGCTTTTCCGTTTCCCTTTATCTTTTCCAACCCAGACAAAACTGCTGCCTGGATAGCATCTGTATCTTTCTCCTTATTATCATCTTTAACACTCAGAAAGTTTCTACACTGAAAAGCAAGATGCCCAACCCGGCCACATCTCTTGCAAGCACCACGAGCCTCATCAGCATTAGAACCAGTGATTCTAGCAAGAGCTAGAAGACCCTGGAAATTAACATATGAATTCTCAGGCTCAGGTTCAACATTAGAGGACTTTGGTTGGGTAGAAGTTTTCGAATCATCCTTATTGGGTGCATATGGATCATACCCAATTGCACTTTGCCAAATACCATGTGTCTGTAGGGCAGCACTACTATGCACCCTATTGTTCGCAGGCATGCGAACCCTTCCTGCTGTAGCCGGCATCTTGAGATTCAGCAATCAAACTGCAACTAAACAAACGAAAACCAAATTAGGGTTTTACCCCCCTCAATTTTCAATCAAAATTATAAAAAAATGAAACAAAAGATACAGATCGTTAAACTTTCAAATTAACCACTTGACTCTGATTCAGAAACAAACCCTAGATTCAAAACAAGTATGAATATAAGTAAATTAAAATCTACAAAATTTCAAAAAAAAAAAAGAGAGAAAAAAAAAAAGAGAGAGAAAAAGGATCTCAACTATTTAATCTAACTTTGATCCAGCAACATCGAACTTTAAAGAGAAGGAGAAAGAGTTTCTTTACCTGTTGATGCGGCAAATCTAAAAAATCAAGGAGCTAAAAGCGAAGCGAGAAGGAAAGGAAGAAAGGAAGCGAGGAGAGAAATATAGGAGAAGAGCAGTCTCCTACGATTATGAATTATATTTGCCTGATTGGTTAATATATTTTCAAAATTCAATTTCAAAAATCAAAAAAGAGAGTAGCCAGAACAGAAATTCGGTAGACAGTGAAATCCATACCTGGATCTGAATGGCTTTTAACTTAAGGCTGGCAAATAAACCACCGCTTTCCTCTTTTTGATTATCTTTTCATAACGACGCCGTGTCAAAGCTGTATTATCTTTTCCTTTCTCTTTTTCTTTTTTTATCTTTTTTTTTTATTTTTTGTAGTTATCAAGTAAAAGTACTCCCAAGAAAAATTTAACTGAGAAAACTTTCTTCTTTTCTCTAATAGAAAACTGAAACTATAAATGGCAAGGGATAGGAAAATTTATGAAAAATGACTTATCTAAATTTAAATCAAATTGAATTAAATAATTAATGTGATTTAAATTACATAATTAATGGAAATAATGGTTGGTTTGATCAAAGTTTTTATATAATTACATATATTGTTTCAATGAATCCCAATTTCATCGATTAAATACTTATTTTTCAATTTGTTCAATTTCTTCAAATCAATAAATCGGGTGGTAGATTTATTAGTTTTCTCACTTACGTGAGAATTGAGATGTCTCGAATTCGTATCCTCTCGACCACATGTGTTTTCACCAATTTTACGAGTTAAAGAAAATGCTACTTTTGTTATGTAGCCTGCAGTGTTATTTCGCTTCCATAAAAGTCTCCAATGAATTAAAAAAATTTATTCAATTTCTCCAAAAATTCACCTAATCCATAAAAACAACTTATAAATAGGTGATAGGGAAGCATAATCGGGTTACCTTGTCGATGGGAGCCGATGGAAATGCTTGAGGTGGCCGGAGGGGAGTCAAGGAGGCAGAATCGGGAATGATGAGAGAGAAGGTATTTTTTGCGATTTGGGTTCATTTCTTTTAGTTAGAGTTGATTTCTGGTTCGATTCAAGAAACATTTTAGTACTATTTTAATTCGTTTGCTCCAATTTGATTTGATTTAAATTTATTTTTTCATGAATTCTCTTCTTTTGGACTTTCTAGAATTTTCTTTTCCAATTAATTAATTAATTCTCACACAAAAATATTATTATTTGATAAATTGTTAATGAAATTCTCAAGTTGGCTTCGGCATTTCGATTCGAACTCAAATCTAATATGATTTCTATTTGGCTAAACACGGTTCAACAAAAATCAATATTCATGAAAAAATGTAAAATTTTGATTTAATTAATTAAATAAATTTTGAAAATAAAAATTGCGGGTATATAATAAATATATATAACTTTAGTGTTTATTCATTAAAATATTAAACAATAATACAAAGTTTAAAAGCAATTTTTATATAATATTATTTATTATATAGTATTATGTTATAGACAGAATTACCCTTACCTTATTATGTACATTTTATGTAATTATTAGGAAAAAGAAAAAGAAAAAATTTAAATCCGTCTATGCTTAGGAGGATTATAATTTATAATAATTACCTAAAACCTAGGTTTATTTGCATTAAGTAAATTCCAATTCCGAATAGGATACTGTAACGCTGAAACCTTGTGTATATATATAGTCTCTCCACTAAAGTAATAATAATAATAATAATAGTAATATCTCCTCTAATACTCAAATTCCGATGGACCCCATACTTATTGTCTTACCATGTATCTTTTTAGTTTTCTTTTTAACGATGTTATGTGCAAGAAGATTACAACAACAACAACTTAATCGAGGCGGAGGCAGCGGCGGCATGGAGCAACAACCACCGCAGCAATCGATTGTAGTTATATTTCCGAGTAATACAGCAATCCGAATTGAGGATCAATGTTCAATTTGCTTGGAGGAATATAAAGATGGAGACCAATGTAAAGTTCTTCCAATATGCAACCATTCATACCATAATTCTTGTATTAGTGAATGGTTTCTTATAGATAAACATTGCCCACTCTGTCGCGAGTCGGTTCGAGGCGGGTCGGTTGAAGATGCAGTACCTGCTACTGATAATTTGAATCAAGTATGATATAATTTCTTTTAAAATTGTTTTGGTGAATCCAAAGTCTATGTGCACTCTTTCTCCTCATACGTTGTCGTTCTGGAGCTATATACATTGACAATATCAACCTTTTTCAAATGCTTTTCCCTTTTGGAAAGTCTTGATTTGTTAATCAGACCTTTTTCAAGTTTAGCTTAATTTTTCTTTATTTTTACATCTACTGAAAATTTGTTTAACGTATTTGTGTTATATATTAGTACCGTCATATGGAGTAAATTAATAGCAATACTTGTCAATCAGTCCAATGGGCTTCTTCTTGGGTCGGCCCATAACAAGTCTGATCCTTCATGCAATGCTTAAGAAAAAGTAGGCCCATGATAAATCTCTTGCGAGTACCGTGAGCCTCATCAGCATTAGAACCAGTGATTCTAGCAAGAGCTGGAAGACTCTGGAAATTAATATATGAATTCAGGCTCAGGTTCAATTTTTTTAAAAAAGAAAAAATTGAATAAACCTCTAACTATTTAATAATTCGCATAAAATTAAAGGCGAATAAAATCGAACTTTGAGAGGAGAAGGAGAAAAAATTTCTTTACCGATTGATCCAGACAATCTTAAAATTTAACGAGCCAAGTATGAGAAGGTAACGAAGCAAAGAGAAAAACATAGGAGAAGAGTGGCCTTTTGTGATTATGAATTATCTTTAAGTGATTAGCTTGTATATTTTAATAACTCAATTTTAAAAATTAAAAATAAAGAGGCGAGAATAGAAAGTAGATGGATAATGGAATTTCGTACCCGTTTTTGGATTAATTTTCTATACCACTCTGTTGGACTTATTAGATTGATAAAAATCACTTATTTATTAAATTAATAAAAATCATTTGTCATCCTCACATAACTGACAAGAGAAAGCAGAATACAACTGATCGACTATTATTTTTAAATAATTGTAAATAACATGTTGATATATAAATATCTATACTATATATAAATATAAAAATAGAAAAACAATTACTATATTTTTGATATCGCTTTTAATGAAATTTAGAATATCTTACAGTAATTTTAGTCTTAATCAATTAGAAAATTACATTTTATTAGTTGATTGAATAAAATTTATTAAATTATTTTTAAATAAATATGTATAAATAATTTATTTTTTCATAAAAATATATAATAATGTCACATTTGAAAATTTTATATTTTATTTACTTTATTTGTTAAATACTTTTTATTATACCTTAAAATATTTTATTTATGAGATAAAAAAAGAAAGAAATATATATTTTTATATTTTTTTATGCTTATGTAAATTAATTGGATATATATTTTTAAAAATAAATGAGATAAAAAAGAAAGAAATCTTATTTTTATATTTTTTTTTATGCTTATGTAAATTAATTGGATAATAATATTTTTAAAAATAAATATTTCAAATAAATATATATATTATATATACTATATATATATTTTATTATGAATTTATAAGTAATCAAAGAAACTCAACAGAATTTAGAAAAGTATCTGAAAATTAATATTTCATTAAAAATAAATTAAAATTATTTAAAGAAAATTAATTTATTTTTAAAAATAATATCAATTTTTACTTAAAAATTAACTTTTCCTGTGAAGATAATCTAAACATTACATTTTAATTTTGCAATATTAATATTTCTTATTCCTAGAAAAATATTATGATATATTATATTTTTTACAAATCAATTCTCAAATTTTCAAATGTATGTATGTGTAAGTGTAAGAGAAGTGATTTTGACTCTTAAATCTAAGAACACAGTCCAATATTTTTATATACAATTTGATGGAGAGTTTTATTGATTTTTTTCTAATTTAAAATACAAAAAGAAATTGTAAAAAGTTTAATAATAATAATTTATATTGCAGTAAATAATCCTAGTCTACCTCAAGACATCTAAGTTTAAATATAATACAAAGACTAACATGAAAAGTTAAATTAAAAAAAAAAAAAAAAAAAAAAAAAAAAAAAAAAAAAAAAAAAAAAAAAAAAAAAAAAGAAGAAGAAGAAGAAGAAGAAGAAGAAGAAGAAGAAGAAGAAGAAAGCATTCACTAAATTAGATCCTGAAATTAACAACCGATAAATACAACAAGAGCAAAAATCATAATAACAGTAACAATAATAATAGAATTAAATCGAAACCCTAGACCATCACCACTAACACAGATAATTTATGATAAATCATTATAAGATAAAAAGAAGATGTACATGTACAAATATGAAGCTACTAACCACTACAAGCATCTCTTTAACACCGCAAGTTAATCTCATCGACCCTCCCGCCACCGACCTCTCTTCCATCTTTTGCCCATCGAATGGATAATTACACGCCTCGTAACCTGCCACCACCCACCGCGTCTTTTTGGTTAGAATATCTGAAAATATCGTGACCAAGCAAATACTAAAATAAAAAAAAAATACAAGAACTTTTTAAAATTTCCTTAATTTAAACTTTTATCTCCAATAGGAATTTAAAAACTAATAATATTAATTTCAAAAAATCTTTAACATTTAAATTTATATTATTATAATTTTTAAAAAAACAAAAAAGTAATAACGTACTTGGATTGACGGTGGTGAGAACTCCGGAGCCGTTAAAATCACAATTATAATCGTGGCGACCAAAAGTCTGATAGTAAGCATTCATTGCGTACGATGCATGTGACCGTACCGTATTCGGGTCAAAGCAGGGACCACCTGCTTGTATGGCTCTGCAATCAACTCTATTGCTGCACACGTAGTCTATATTTTTCTGTAACGCCTCATCTCCAGCGTCCGATTTTGGCACGCACCACCTTCTGTCCAAACTTGAAGACGGTGCCGCGGCTGTTGTAGCAGCTGTGGGACCATGCGCCTGTTTATTCAAAAACTTGGACGGTTATGATTGCATTTTTTACAATAGAAATCTACAAAAGCAATTTTGCGTTGATCGATACGTCTTGTCGGGAATATCTTTTTAAGAAAATACGGAAGAGGCGGGAATTAATTTAAGGAAAAAAAAAGAAATAACACGTTTATGACGGAAATGCCCCTCAAGTTAATAATACCATAAAATGGTAAAGAGGAATAAATAGCGAACTCAGTGCTATCTAATTTAGTCGTTACACATTTGAACAATTGTCTCCCACTACGCAAAAGTTCTAAAATGCTGACAGTGTCAGAGCTCGGAATCCAAAACGTAGAGAACTGGGTAAAGGCAAACATGACATCAAAACACCATCAAAGATGAAACACTGAAACACTTCAAAAGATGGAAGGTCCAAATCATATAAATACTCGAGCTTAATATAGTCTCGTAGACACGGAATTATATCAATTTACCGCGAGCAGTAGAGTACTCACTGCTCTCTATTATGTGAAAATTAGAGGTAGACACGGAATTAGAACCCGTGTCTCGTCAATTTACCGCGAGCAGTAGAGTACTCACTGCTCTCTATTATGTGAAAATTAGAGGTAGACACGGAATTAGAACCCGTGTCTCGTCAATTTACCGCGAGCAGTAGAGTACTCACCGCTCTCTATTATGTGAAAATTAGAGGTAACAGTAAATGCCAAAAATTTATTAAAAAAAAAATAGAAACGAGAAAATGACAAAAGTACCTGCCCATTCCGTAAAACGCCGACGTCGTAAACCGGAGAGAGATCCGGCTTGAACAACCCGAAATTTCGCTCCGAAATAGTCGGTTTCAGATTCTCATTGAACAAAGCGAAAAGATAAGTCTCGAACGTTCTATTTGGCATCAACGGCGTTCCTTTCCCAGAGTTCACATGCTTCACGAGGTTTGCGTTATACGACACTGCATTCTCCAAGCTTACACCGGGTTGATTCGGATCACCCACCGATGGCCAACCCGTTTCGGCCACCACAATGTCCACGTCCTCATATCCTAACTTTTTCATCGCCGAGAAGATTGCATCAAGCTGGGCGTCAAACATGTTTGTGTAATTCTTCCCCGTAGCCGCATCAAAAACGCCACCGTTTGGCTTAAACAACGCGTAGTTTAACGTCTCTGCTTTGAAACCAAAGAACGGATATGGATTAACCATAAAAGGAGACTTCGTCTGGCGATGAAATTCGAGAATCGGAGCGAAAATCCTCGTATCATAGCCTTTTCGAAACCGACCGGTACTTGGCGGCTCAGATGAGGATAATATACCTAAAGAGTGAGGAGTGGAGACTTGAATATTAGTGATGTTAGCGAGCTCAAGAGCAGATTTGAGAGCTTTCATGGCCGGTAAAGTGTGAGCTATTAGCGATTTATCGGAAGTGGCGAGGATCTCGTTGCCTACGGCTATGTATTTAATGATTGTTTTAGGGTGATATGGTAAAATGTTTGCAGCGATCCATGCTTTGGCAGCAGGAAGCTTGGCGAGGGAAGGGATATCTCCGTTTCCGACGGTGACGGTTACTGAAATTCCAGTGTTGGCGAAGGCACGGAGGATATCTGGGTTGGCGTCGAAGATCTTGATACGGTCTATGGTGGTTTTGGTTTTCAGGAAATTGGCAACTTGAGATGGCGTAGGAAGGTTGTCGGCAACGGTGCCATAGTTTACGCCGATGGAGTAAGCGGCGGTGGAGGAGCGGAGGAAGAGCTGGAAAGCAAGGAGAAGCAAAAGAAAGGGAATGGGTTTTGCCATTTTCTTTGTGATGAACTGGAAGAGCAGCCTGTGAAGTTGCGCAAAAGGCAGAGGGAGTTTGGTGGGGCTGAAGAAGACTAATGTGATGTGGGGCCTAGTCAATAGAAGTGGTGATCTTGTGGTTGTGTCAAACTGTGGAGTGGAAGTCTGCTATAGACAACGATATAAATCAAAAGAAGTAATTTCTTATTTTTGGGAATGTATTTAATTTACCAGAAAAAATAGAATGGTTATATTAATAATGTAAAGACAAAAAAAAAAATTTCAATCTTTCGACCTTTCAACCATTGCCAAATGTTAATTTCTCCAATCCAAAGAAAAAATAGAGAGAATGTGAAGGGAAATATCATAGTTAAATAAAATTACTTTAAACAAGTAGAATCTTTTTCCAAGGGAGTCGCTGAAAATGTCGGGTGGGATTACTAAAATTTGATAGTTTAGGATTAGAATAGGAGCGTTGTGAGACATAAGATTTTAATGATTTTAGAATGTTTTAAAAATTGTGCTCATGGCATATTAACTGTTTTGACTTGATTTTCTATTGATTGAAATTATTTATAAATAAATATAAAAATATAAATATTAAAACATAATAATCAATAATATAACAAAAAAATAATACTCCACTAAATAAAAAATGGTCATTTACGAGGTAAAAAATTTGACGTTAATTATGAGAAATGGATAGATTTTTGTTGTGATTTATCTTTTATTTATAAGTCATTAAATTATATTTATGGGAATAAATCAACATAGTATATTTGACTTTCAAAATAAACGTTCAACTACTGCAATGTTGGGCGCAAAATAGAAAAATGTTTGGCTAAAAATAAGTAAACACTTAAAAAAAGAAATAAAAGTCGTGATTCTCACAATTTATTGGTAAAAAACACCTCAAAAAACAAATCTTGTTTATTACTCATCTAACGGATTATGACATTAGATCCTAAGGATCTAGTAGGTAATATCATTTTTTTTTCCAATTGCAATAAGGTTATAGATTGGTGGAATTTATTAGCCACCAAATTTAAAATTACATTCTTTCCATTATAAATAAATATTTATTATATTTATTTATTTTAAGGAAAAAGGAACATTCAATAAAAACCTTAGCCATTTCTCTCTCTCTTGACTCTTTCTTTTTTACATTTTACTAGATTTTATTTCTAAACGATTGCCGATCATCTTCTTTGATTGGCAATGGTTTCTTTTCGTCCATTTCTATCATTTTTTTTATTTTATTTCGTTTTCTTTCTAATAATTTTTAAATTTATGATCGTTTGAAATAAAATTTGGATTTAGTCTCTCATATATCTAATAGTTGATAGATCTTGAGTATTTTCGATATCCTCTTACTAAGGTTATTAATTTCTCTCCTTTCATAGGATTGTTCCTCGTTATTGATGAGCTTCTATGTGAATCTTCTATTTCTTTGGCAGTTCAAAATATAAGATGGATTATTAGTTGTTTGTGGTTGGAGACTTCAGATCTTCAGATAAATTTCTTTTATCAATGGATCTTGCTAGTGCAACATGTTCCTCTATTAAAGTTTCGTGTATTAAATGCTTCTGTGTGTGTTAGTTGTAATGAGTTTCTGTAAAAATAATGTTTAGGAAAATATTGGAGAATGTTACTTTTGTCGTCCTATTTGAAAATGGATCAGCTTTTATCCGGAAGATTAATCTCTCCTATCAAGACTAAGAATATCTCTAAACATAAGATTTCAATTTTCTATATTTTTATTTCTTATTCCTATAGAAATATTATTCAACTTATATTCATTATTAATGAATCGTTAAATTCTTAAAAAATATATATTTATTTTAATATAATTTTAAATATAACGACTTAAATTGTCATTTTTATATAAGGTGAACTTTATAATAAAAAAAATCATTGAGTTATTGAAAGCTAATATCTATTATCTTACTATCATATTTTGCGAATTAATCTTAACAAGAATGCAACTAACTACATCCACTAATCCATTAAAAACTTCATGATTTTTATAATTCTATATTATTTTAAAAAATTTAAACGATTAATGCCCTAATTTAAAAAATTGTTTGCAATTACACCCTATCAGTTAATATATAAGTCTCACGTTTTGCGCGCGAATTTAATCTTTAACAACGAATGCAACTAACTATCATTCGCCACTAATTCCATTAAAAACTTCATGAATTTTTATAATTCTACTATTATTTTAGAAAAAATTTAACGATTAATGCCCTAAATTGTTAAAAAAGATTGTTGTTGCAATTACAGCCCTAAGTCAAGTTAAATATATATATATATATATATATATTATATATATATATATACTATATAGCATATTTACGTTGCATATACTAATAGTATAGTGTAGGTATTATCCATGTAGGTATATATATTATATTTTTTGATAGTGGCTCTAGGAATTGAAAAGGTTTGGTCTAGTTTTTAAGCTCGTGATAAATCCTAGAGATAACCGCATATATTAATTAAATCTTCTTTTGAAATTTTCAAAATCTTAGTATGTATATATATTATATTTTTTGATATGGCTAAATTAAAAGGTATTTCTATTTTTAATTCTGATAATAGAAAACCATATATTATTAATAATTTCTTTTTGAAATTTCAAAATCTAATTAGAAAATAAAAATTTAAAGTCAAGAACTCTCTTGCAAATCCATCATATTAAAGTCACTAATTTGGCATCAACAACTCCTCTGTTGTGATTACCACTGTTATTACAACAAAAATGGCAAATGATAACTTCTTTCTAATATTTCTAATCTATTTTATATTTTCAATGATTTTTAAGAAATTTCTAGTAATGGTTTTTAATTTTTTGTTCCCTATGAAAAATAGCTAAGAGCGAACTCTTGGTGCACTTCCTGGGAAAAATTCAATTACACTCCTGAATTTTGTTAAAAAGTTCCATCGAATACGTATATGATGGCCAAAATATGGTTTTTGAAATCGGAACTGGCCAGAATCGGAACCGTAACGGGGGTCGCGGTCCGGTTTTGGTTCTAAGTCTGTTTAAAACCGTGAATTGATCAGAATCAAAGGTTTTGACAACCAGTTAGAATTAGCGGTACCAATACATTTTTTTTTATTTGTTCAAAAATTTTTATAAAAAACTCCAAACCAACTCTCTCAACAACTATAAACAGCTATATAATGTTTAGTTTTAAGAGTATTTGTATAAGTTAGATTTTTTGATTTTAAATTTATGCGAACCACTTTAAAAACTGATCATAGAATCATTCGAAATCGTCAATTTTGAAACTACTAAAGAACCAGAATCGTAACCAGCCAGCTCCAAACTAAAACTGAAACGGTTAATTTTCGGTTCAATTCCAATTCCACGCTATCTAGAATCAAAAGAGTTGATTTTGAAATTAAAACAAGCGGTTTCGAAACGGCTACCGCCCCCAAGTGTGTATATGTATATATATATAGGAAAGAAGATTATGGGCTAAAAGAGGGTAAAACCCTCGTTTACTCATCAAATTGACGAAAAATCTTGTAATCAAGAAAATCAAACATAAAATCTCTCATTTCCTATATAATTGAAAAGATCAACCAACCATATTTTAATTTAAATTAATTAAATCCCCTCAACTCAAAATTCAAATTCAAACTTGAATTATACCGTTAGTTCTTGTAATAAAAGTGGTTTCTCCTTTTTTTTTCCAAACACCATTTCTGCAAACTCACGAAGAAAGGCAAATTTCCAAGTACATTTAAACAAACACTTAGGTTGTTTGAGACAGCGAAACTAGCACACTTAGCTAGATAAAAATATGAAAGGTACCTAAATTACATACTCCATTCTACTGTCAAGAAAGCTAAAAAGTTGTAACGTGAACAGAATTTATTAAAATTAATACGAATTTTGATTCTTATTTACTGTTAATCCAAATAATCTCACAATTAAATATTTTTATCTGAAAATATTTATATCTTAATTTGAAAATAGGTCAATCGATTTCGAATCAAATTATCGCGAAATCAAATTGTCATTCCTAATGTCACGTAACAAGTGAATTCCCAATCGACAATAATGATACTTATAATAGTGATTAACTAATAAATAAATAGAACCACTAATTAATATAATGGAGATAAAATTTACATTTTCTAAAAAGTTATTAATTTTATTTATTTAATCTATAAGTGAGATAATGGATCTGGTCTCAAGTTATATATATATATGGTCTCAAGTTATATATATATATATACATATACTATAATATATATATATATATATATATATAATTTCCACCTATTTGTAATGGCTCATATATATATATATTTCACCTATTTGTAATGGCTCAACCGGATCAATCGGAAACTGCAAACAATGCAACAAAAAACCCCACACCAAGCCCTCCTTCTCATTCCAAAAATGGTGAAACTCCCGCCATTAAAAGCTTTCTGGCTCTTCAATTCCTCAATTCATCGAGGCATTAACCCTTCTCATCAATCAATTTCCTTCATTCTGCACCACCTCCTTAACTCCAACTTACTATCCCAAACTCAATCTCTCCTTCTCCAATTGCTCTGTAATCGAATCTCCTCTCCGTTCTTCACTATTTCATCTCTCCTCCACTATCTAACACAGCCCACCTCCAATTCAAACTCAACAATCAGTACGCTTCTTTACGAATCAATTATCATTGCTTATGTTCAATCTGACTCAACAGAGCAAGCTGTGTTTTATTTTAATCAAATGATTGATAATGGCCTTATCCCTAGACCAAATACTTTCAATACTCTTTTGAATTCTCTTGTTAAATCAAGTTGTTTTGAGAAATCTTTGTTATTTTTTGATGAAGCAAAGGAGAAGAAGGTTAAATTGGATGTCTATAGTTATGGGATATTGATAAAGGCTTGTTGCGGTTTTGGTGATCTGAATAGAGGTTTTGAGTTATTGACTCAATTAGAGGAGATGGGTTTTTCTCCAAATGTCGTTATATATACTACTCTAATTGATGGTTGTTGTAAAAATGGTGATATTGAAAGAGCAAAAGTGTTGTTTGATAAAATGGGAGAAATGGGTTTGGCTGCTAATCAGTATACTTACACTGTTTTGATTAATGGGTTTTTTAAAAAGGGACTGAAAAAAGATGGGTTTGAGTTATATGAGAAGATGCAGCTTGATGGGGTATCTCCTAATTTGTATACTTACAATAGTATTATCAGCGAGTATTGCAATGAAGGGGAAATATATAAAGCATATGAACTGTTCGATGAAATGTGTAATAGAGGTGTGACGCGTAATGCTGTTACTTACAATACTTTGATTCGTGGCTTGTGTAAAGAGATGAGGGTTTGGGAGGCTGAGAAATTCGTGGATCAAATGAAGAAAGCTTGCATTAGTCCAAATTTAGTTACATATAACACACTAATACATGGGTTTTGTAGTGTACAGAGGTTGGATAAGGCGTTAAGTTTTTTCAACCAATTGAAGTCAAATGGGTTATCTCCATCTTTGGTAACCTATAATGTTCTGATTGAAGGATATTCTGATGCTGGAAACTGGGTGGCTGTCACCAATTTAGCAAAGGAGATGGAGGAGAGAGGCATTTCTCCTTCCAAAGTGACATATACGATTTTAATAAAAGCGCATGTGCGGCTTGAAGACATGGAGAAAGCATTTCACTTCTTTTCCTCAATGGAGAAGGTTGGCTTGGTACCTGACGTGCATACCTATGGTGTTATATTACATGGGTTGTGCATGAAAGGTAAAATGAACGAAGCTTCAAAACTATTTAGATCAATGAGTGAAATGAAGTTGGAGCCTAATGATGTTATATACAATACAATGATTAATGGTTATTGTAAAGAAGGCAACTCCTTTAGGGCCTTGAGGTTTCTCCAAGAAATGGAGGATAAGGGATTGGTTCCAAATGTGGCTAGCTATAGTTCTAGCATTGGAGTTCTGTGCAAAGATGGTAAGTGGCAAGAAGCTGGTGTTTTGCTAAACAAGATGATAGAGTCGGGATTAAAACCATCAGTTTCCATTTATAACATAATCTCTGAAGCCAAATACGGTACAGTGTTGAGGACGTGACACTCTGGTTGGATGTAGAGTGGAAAACAAGAAATGGAGTCATACTATTAAAAAGGCTCTCTTTTGACTTCAGTTGACAGCTTAAAGCTGTAAATTTCTGATGTGCAGACATAGAGATTCTGTGGAAGAGTTAAATACTGCTTAATCACTTGAGCTTGCACTTCAGTTGGTATGGCATTGATGCATGCATAATTGGAGATCTTTCCTGTGCTGTTTTGGATCAAGCATTCCGCAAGGTGTTTTCACTGTCCTACATTGAATTTCATTAGATTAGATTCCATATTTGTTTTATGAAAATGATTGTTTTTATCTTTTGCTTAACACTCTTTGGTCCTTTTCTTGCAGGCCTTCAATCTTGAGAACTTATGAAGACTAGCTCAAGATTATTAATTAGATTCTCAATTAAAAATATTTTGGATTAAGTACTCCAGTTAATGTGGAATATTGCAAGTCTGGATTCCATGTCTGCAATTTTTTTAAGAAATTGCTGAAGTTATGGAAATTATTTGACAAATATCAAACTTCTATTCCCGTAAAAGTTATGAAAATTCATTGTAAATGTATTTCTTTTATGAGTTTTGGCATGCCATTGCACTCAAATTTACGGAAATTCGAGTTCTTGGTATATATATATATACACACACAAACACAATTTTAAGATGGGTGTGATTGCCATAACTTCGATTAAGATACATCATACTCATACATTCAACTTGAAATAGAAGGTAAAAACTCCATTGTCTCTCTGCCGTGACAGTTTCTGCTTCCGCTTGGTTTTTATATGAACTGAAGAGGCTGCAAGATTAATTGCATCCATCGGGAAATTCCTCACCACTGTAGAAGAAAAACTCTTCAATAAAACAGAACCCTCCGTATTGTATCTATCACATTAGTCCTTTTAACTGTTTATAATATTGTATCCATAAGGAAATTTTGTTTTTGCATTTCTTCATTAATTTTTTTTTATAATATTTCATTATTTTTTTATAATCTTTTATCTGCGAGGTGAGCCAATCTTTAAATCTTGCTTTTTTAACAAAAATATAAAAAAATGAATAATTAATTTGAGACATTGTAAGCTAGTAATATTATTTTAAAACAGAGGGAGTAAAACATAATGAAATAGTAAATAAAGTTATTATAAAAGCCTAGAAGGATCTATGTTGATGAATTCTCAATTTGTTTTTTTTTTCTTTTACAGAAGAAAACTATATTATTAATTTGCATTACTCAAAATTGATAATTAAACTTTCACTTGCTATTTTATTTGACTCAATATTATTTTTTAGATCAATTAAAATATAATCCCTCATCTAAAAAAATGAATTTCATAAAATTTTGTGCAATTAATTTATAAATTTAAATTTTTATATTTGGAATGAAAACAAAAAAGAATTTAATTCTATTAATTTAAATTCTATGGATGTAAATATAGCTAATCAAAATTTATGAAAAGAGGTGGAATTTTCAAATGAAATCCACAAATTTGAGCAACTCAAACTTTATGACAAAAATTTTTCATCCCATTAACCTTCTAAAATTATTATGCTAAGGATATTTTAAGAATAAAAAGAAATGAATTTTCAATTTTTAAATCAATTATAAATGAATTCCAATTTTTTAGTACATTTATATCAAATAAATTCTAAAGTTTGAGTTTAAGCTTAATTATTCTATTTTCAGCTATATATATTTTTATACTAGGCGGTCCTCCGTGCTTCGCACGGTTGTATAATAATTATATTTTTCATTTTAAATGTAAGATACATATGTCGAGTAATTATAGAAATCCATTTGTTAGGAAAAAAAGCGACTAAAATTATTATTAGATATCAAGTCTTCTAAGTAATTTAAAATGATATATATACTTGATTTTTATTTTTGTAGAGATTTATTTAATTGGAAGTATATAATTAAAAAACCTATTTAATAGTTAATTCATCATTGCATAAAATATATTTAAATACTTCAAAATTGTACACAATTAAATCCCTGAAAAAATAAACAAAATAAAACTAAGCTAAGCAAAATATAAAATCAAAAAACAAAACCAAATAAATGACTCAAATAAAGTAATAAAATACTAAAGTGTTCTTCTTTCAACTCGCAATAAACTGAAGAAATTAAAATAAAAAATTAAGTTAAACTTTCAACAATAAAAAGAAATTTAAAAATTAAAAAAAATAAATAAATAGCAACCAAGATGAGAATTTTGAACTTTTATATATGACAATATATAAATATTTGAATTTTCAATCAGCAAAAAAAAAAAAAAAAAAAAATGAGAATTTTGAAACTTTTTTATATATGACAATATATAAATATTTGATTTTCAATCAGAAAAAAAAAAAAAAAAAAAGAAGAAATTTAAAAGCTAAAACTATTAATTTCACATTAACCCAATTCTTTGAATTTTAGATCAAAATAGAAAAATCATGTAGGCAGCCTTTTTCATCATAAATTCAGTAGCATTTTTCATGATGAATTCGATACAGTCATACAAACAAAAAATTTAATTTAAATATCTGAAATTTTATTGACTTGAAAATATTCAACTTATCATAAAAAAAAAAAAAAAACTAAATTTGTATCTTTATAATTTACTAAAAAACTGAAAATCATAATCAAACAAATCAAATGAGAAAAAAAGAAAAAAGAAGAAAAATACTATTCATCATCTTATCTTATTGTTTTTAAAATGTATGAAATTATTCTTGAACGTTGATAGATTACTTATCATGAAAAGAAAAATAAAATTTGTACCTAATAATTTACTCAAAAATTAAAAATCATTATCAGACAAATAAAAAATAATGTGTATTTTTAAAACACATGGTTTTTTTAACATTTTTGAAATTATTAAAATTTTAAACATACTATATTTGATTTGAAGTTTATACTACATAAAAATAAAAATTTTTATATTTATAAATTATTATAATTAATACAAAATTTAAAGATTTTAGACATTGTATTTTTTTTCTATCACATATTTGCTTTTCACTGAAAAAACAAATAGCATAATTTTGATTTGAATAAAGAAAAAAAAATTCTTTATATATATAATAAATATATAATTAAAAAAATCTAAAAAATAATAAATTGAAATGTTTATTATAAAAATCTAAAAAATATAATTGAAATGTTTAAATTTTTTATATTATAATACCTAAATGAATTTAAAAATCATAAAAATGGAAAGATAATTAATTATTGAAAAGTAAACAATGGGAGAGAAAAAGTAGATAAAAAAAAAGAAATGCTCAAAAAATTTACAAAAAAAAATAAATCACAATACTCAAATATTATAAGTTTAACTTTTTTAAAAAGTATCACATCAGCATATAAGAAAAACAATATTTCTTCTTGATATATATACGATGATATAATGATATGTTAAATTTTCTACATTTCATGATATGTTAACTTTTCTACTTTTAAAATGTGTTTAAAATAATTAGAAATATGAAAAATTTAAAAAAAAAAAAGAAATTCAATGTGCCACTCAAGATAGAGGAAAGAATGAGAATTCAATTTTATTATTTTATTATTTTTAATATTTGATTTATTTTTAGTATATAAGTATTTTATCATTTTTAACTCAATAAAATAGCGATGTTAATCTGCATGGAGAAAAAACATAATCCATTATAAATATAAAGGACTCAGATCCCTTTTCATGACGTGAAGTGATAAATATAATCTATTTGAGATTTTTAAAGCGAATATGTTAGATTAATTCATTAAAGTTGATTTTAAATCCATACGGCTTTGTTGAGCTTGAGCATTTTAAGAAAAGGAAACTAAGAGAGACATTGTAAGAGAACCTAGAACTAGAACGATCTACAAAAAAAAAAAAAATTCTTTCCAATGGCTAGGATCTTTCCAAGTCAGGCTGTTCACACATAAAATCACATGCTATAAAAAGTCAAAAAGTCAAACATTACAGAGCTTTGTCGGACACTTTGACGGTGAAGCCCCTCTCCTCCATGTCAAACGCAATTGCCTCGGGTCAAGATCCGGATCCGGTCTCATTCCGAACTGACCCTCACGGTTCTGGCCACCCTGACCTCGATACAATCACTGATCCTCTTCTTCAAAACGGCTCCTATATCGACCCTAGTAACAACCTCCCTACCAGCGGACAGACCACAATCAAACCAAATAAAGATAATCAACAAGCGGCTCCGCAGTCTTCTAGCTCAGCGAATGGCGTGGAGGCCGAGACACCGGTTAAATCTCGGAGGAAAGTACCAGTTACGATGGCGCCAGGGTCTGCTGAATCGGCGAGTTGGTTGCCGCCGGGATGGTTGGTTGAAGATCGGGTTAGGACCTCAGGTGCAACAGCTGGCACGGTAGATAAGGTCCATTTCTTTTTTCTTTTTTTCCTTTACTTATAAATTCTTTTTAATAATTATTATTTGTTTTTATGAGAACAAATCAACGCATGAATTAAATGTTGCAGTTCATTTAAATTTAATTCTGCACTTTCTATATCTGAAATTAACGTTGTTTTTAGGTTTAGTCCTTGGGAGAATTTCCAGCTTTGAGCCGCATTTAAATCTGTGTAGTTGAGGCCTGGGATTGGATTTTTGAAAGATGTAAGGCATGGAATAGGCTAGTTAGATGATTTTATGGTGGGAAAAGAACTCGAAAGAGTTTGTTTTTGTTCACTTAGCAAAGGGGAAATAATATTTTTGTTAGGTAACCCAAAAACACAACCTACAGGACGAGCTAGTGAGAGGTCAGTCTAGGTGGTTCCTTCATTGTAGGTTATAGATGTTTTTCTCATGGGTTCAAGAAGAGTGCAGTTAGATAGAGACAGAAGTTATATTCAATTTTGATTATAGTTTGTCCTTGTATCTTAGCTTAAAACTGAAATTAGTTTCCCTTTCTATTGGGTAGTTTTTGGTAAGTTTCTCCTTGTTCTCAGTTGCGGTAAAAGTTGGGTTATGAATAAATGAGGGCAAGGATAATTTCCTTCAGGTTTGAGTTCCTTAAGCTCAAGACATCGAAGAGTTCTCTCTAATGAGCTTTTAAATTCAAGTCAATTATCAAATAACTAGATCCCTAACTCGGAACCATTACTATATTCTTCTTCAGCGCATTGTTGATTGGGCAATATTTTATTTTGATTTTGCATGGTTTCATTTTTACTTCCTCTTGAAAATGCAAACTTATAGTTTGGATAAAGAGTAGCTCAGGAATTTTATGGAATTTATTCTTTTAGATTTGTCTGTCAGAAAATGGGGATAATCATTTTGTCGGAGAACAATTGTCGCATATATAATTGGGTTTATGGTTGTCTTTTTTCAAATTGTTGCTCTAGATATGTAGGACCATGTTATTTGTTCCTAATCCGTTATCTTTTGAATTGTAGAAGAATGTGGAAAATTATTGTTGCATATATATATATATATATATACACACATATACAGGATACTATAAACCTATTAGGAATCTAACTCCTAACAGAACTCTATTTACAACTAGTCCTTAACACTCTCCCTCAAGTTGCAACTAGTCCCTTAACACTCTCCCTCAGTTTGGAGTGTGTTTCATGCCCAACTTGTTACAAAGATAAGTTAACCCGAGGTCATTTAGAGCTTTTGTAAAGAACCGAGGTCCATTAGAGCTTTTGTAAAGATTATCTCCTAACTGTTCACTTGTTTTAATATGCACCTGTAGAGATAACACCTGTTGTATCCCTTCTCACGAATGAATGACAATCAATCATCGATATGTTTGTTCGTTCATGGAATACTGGATTGATGCAATGTGAAGAGGCAGCTTGATTATCACACCCATAACTTTGCAGGCAAAGGGCCGACTTGAAAAGCAATTTCCCTCTAACAAATTGAACGAATCCAAATTTGTCTCACAAGTAGATGCACCATAGCTTCGATATCTGATTCAGCACTCGATCGTGAGACTACACTTGTTTCTTTGCTCTCCACGATATCTAAGTTTCCACCCACAAAGACACAATATCCTGAAGTTGTCATTCTAATCGAACCTTCGAACCTGCCCAAATCCGCAATCCCGAATAACACTCAATGTCCAAATGATGCCCATGATTACTGTAAAGGAGGCCACGACTTGGATTACCTTTCAAGTAGCACAAAATTTGTCCTAAAGCTTCCCAATGAATAACAGTAGGAGAAGATATAAACTGGTTTAAGACGCTTACAGATTAAGCAATATCTGGACGTGTTACCGTAAGATAATTCAGTTTGCCCACCAATCTTTTATATATCTCAGGATCATCAAATAGCTTACCACCAATTGGAAGTTGCAAATTAGGAGTCATTGGAGTACTGCATGGCTTGACACCCAACTTTCTAGTTTCCTTTAGTAAGTCAAGGACATACTTTCTTTGAGATAAAAAGATGCCTCTCTTACACCTAAATACTTCTATACCCAACAAATACTTCAACAATCCTAAGTCTTTTGTCTAGAACTGAGTCTGGAGGAATGACTTGAGTGATTTAATGCCTGCAAAATCACTCCCTGTAATAACAATGTCATCAACATAAACCACATGTAGAATCAAACCAGTGTTAGTACTTCTGAAAAATACAGAATGATCAGAAGTACTCTTCTGCATGCCAAATTGGTGAACCACATTGCAAAATCTACCAAACCAAACCAAGCTCGAGGTCTGTTTTGTGCATAAAGGAGATTTTCGAAGTTTACACACTTTACCCAACTCCCCCTGAGCAACAAAACCTGGTGGTTGCTCCATGTAAACTTCCTCCTGAAGATTCCCATGAAGAAATGCATTTTTAACATCCAGCTGACGTAAAGGCCAGTCAAAGGTAGTTGCTAAAGAAATAAACAAATGAACAGAAGACAATTTGGCCACAGGAGAAAAAGTATCAGAGTAATGAAGGCCATAAATCTGAGAATAGCCCTTAGCAACTAATCGAGCCTTGAGACAGGCAACAGATCCATCAGGATTTATTTTAACTGTGAAAATCCATTTACAACCAATAACTTTCTTACCTGCTGGGAGAGGCACAAGATCCCAAGTACCATTAGTATCTAAGGCAGCCATTTCCTCTTTCATTGCTGCACACCAACCAGGATGGAACAAAGCTTGGACAACAGTTTTAGGGATAGAGACAGAGTCTAGGTTACTTACAAAACAACGAGATAAAGGAGAAAGATGATCATAACTAATAAAAGAAGAAATAGGATAGGTACACGAAGAAATAAGGATAGGTACACGTGGCGTTTTACCTTTTCGAAGAGCAACTGGGAAGGTCAGGTCACGGAGCAAGTGGATGGCAACAGGCTCAAGGTTGAAGTGGAGGGAACCGGATCTCTGTTGAAGCGGTAGAGAGGGGAAGTGAGTTTAAGAGTTCCTGGTGCTCTTGGAATACTTCAAAACGAGGGCGGACAGATGTTGGTGCAGGAGGGGGAATAGGAGGAGCAGACGCTGTAGCAGGAGCAAGTGCAAGTTCAGGAACAGGAACAAGAGCAGGAGCAGGACAGCTAGGAAATTGATGGATAGCGTAGACTAAAAACTCATCATCCTCCCCCACTCTTATATATAGGAGAAGGAAAAAATAGAGTATTCTTAAAAAATTTGACATCGACAGAAATAAGATAACGGTTAAGATCGGGAGAGAAACAATGATATCCCTTTTGATGCCGAGAATACCCAAGGAAAATACAACAATACAACGAAGGGATTTTGGATCTAATTTGGAAACTTGTGGACGAACATCACGAACAAAACAAGTACAACCAAAAATACGAGGTTCAATAGAGAATAAAAGTTTAGAAGGGAACAGGACACTATAAGGAATTGCACCATTAAGCACAGAAGAAGGCATGCGATTAATCAAAAAACATGCAGTAGAGACAGCATCTGCCCAATAATGTTTAGGGACCTTCATTTGAAATAGGAGTGCCCTAGCAACTTAAAGAAGATGTCGATTTTTTCTTTCTGCAACCCCATCTTGAGAAGGAGTATCAACACAAGATGTTTGATGAAGAATACCATTCTGTGACATATAAGATTGGAAGGAACTAGATAGATATTCTTTACCATTGTCACTTTGCAATGTGCGAACAGAGGTGCAAGTGCCGACAAACAAAGAGTATTAAATTGATTTTTTAATCTCCATGCACAAAAAGGAACAGAAAATAGAGAATATCTCAGAATTGATTTTTCAATTAAAAGATAACCCAAGTAACACGAGAATAACATTCCACAACAAGGTTACGAAAATATCGGGAAAGGCCTGGGTTTTTAATAATAACAGGACATGTACCCCCCCCAAACATCAGAACTGAACTAAAAAACTCAAAAGGGCGATTGAAGCCCGTTTATTGACTCGGAGGGAACAAACGTAAACCGATGACTGTTGCGCAACATTGACAAAGTATCACATTTCAAATATCCGATAAAGACTGATAACTTACTGGACATAAACTTCCTTTAAACACTAGTCAATGAAGGATAGATAGACTAGCCTACAGAGAAGATGAGGCAGAGGAGGCACCAACACAAAGGCCAAAGAGATGACGAAACTTGGTTCATCCAGAAGATAAGTGCCATCAGACCACTCCACAGTCCTTTACAATAATCCGCTTCACGTCAAATACGCACCTGAAATACAACCACAATAAGTAGGATAAAACTTTAACTTTACAACAATTTTCAATTAGCCAGGAGTAATTTTGCTAACCAAGGATAATAGATTGAACGAAAAACGAGGGCAAACAAAACAAACCAAAGACTAATAGAAGAGATGGGGATGGGGATTGCGCGGTGCAATTACACTTGACAGAAGATTGTGGACCCATCAGCTAGAGGTATAACCTCATGCAACATCTAAATATAATTCCAGGTTCTCATACACCTAAGGATAAGAGCAAATAGGGGTAACCTAAATTCATAATGATCTGTGCAAAACAAAAATCATGACCCACTTTTGCGATGAGGATACACATAAGACATGTCACGCTAGCGAGACCGAACCAATAATATCAAAACAAAAAACAAATCGCGCAATAGCAGGTTAGGCAATTGAGGAACAGAGTTAGAGAAACACAGTATCTAGAGAGGCTCCGCATTAAATACCGCAAAGTAGACTTAGAAGAACGGTATCTAGAGAGCTCAGCATAATCCGCAGCAGAAATTGTTACAGTGTTCTCAGAAGAAGTAACTGCAGAATCTTGAGTGGCCATATTTGTCCTTGGGGGCTTATTTAGCAGTTTCTTACAATACCGTTTAGTGTGACTAGGTTCATAGCAATAACGGCAGATAAGAATGCTTGCTTCCTGATTAATTGGTCCATTCCTACGGTTATGTCCTCCTCTTCCTCTGTTTCGTGGCTGTCTAACTATTTGATTATGACTCACAAGGGCACTATTATCATAAGGGAAAGGGGTATGAGAACCTTCAGTACGTAGTAATCTAGCAAAAGTCTCCTGAAGAGAGGTAACGTCACTGCCTGAAAGAACCTGTGATGCAAGACCTGCAAGAAAACTCATTACAGCCAATTGTTTTTGCTGAGTCTATTGAACCTTAATATCGGGGCTGAATGGCAATAAAACATTAAGTTCCTCGTAAATCTTCTTAAATTCCATGAAATAAGCTGTGAGGGGCTTATCTTGCTGGTCGGCTCGATAATGTAAAATCCTTTGCAGAACCTATACATACCGGGTATAGATTACCCTTTTTCCCCGAGTACAAAATTCCAAAAGAATCCTTAACAAAATCACCCACATTAATTTAATTAAACCAATTTACCTCACCTGTCAATCGAATTTCCGAAAGCTTGGTAAAATATAATCGCAGCATTCCTCTCTAAGGCCAAAAATTGCCTAGGCAGCTCCTGGAGGTGATCATTGGCTCAAGGTGGTTCATTCCTTATCCAAACTACCGGAACATATATACGAAAACTGGATTTTACTCCCATGCCAGAAAATTGGAGCGAGATAAAGTATTGTGTCTCCGTTATTTTTACGCTAATGCACCACATCAGTTGATGACAGGTTTTTCCAAGGTCGGAAGTCCCCCGGTGGAGTATATTGGATTTGTGATTGAAACGCTTCCAAAAAACAAATGTTATGCACAGCAAAGACAAATCAACTACGATTTCTTTGGTAACTTGATAGCAGTAATAGCAAATAGGCCGGGGGCAGCCACAATATAAATCACAAATTTCCAAACTTGTACCCCCGGGCCAAGGCGACCCCCACAAAGGTGCGAACACAAAAAAACACCCAAAAAGTCAAAGGAGAAGGCCGAACGGCAACACACTGGGGGTTGCACTGTACTGGGCAAGGAATCGATGCCTGGAAACTGGAGGAGAGCTGGTGACTCCGGGAGATGGTCCACGCGGTCACGCGCTGGATGACAGAAAACTTTTGGTTTGAGTGGTGCCGTGACGCTCCACTTCGCGAGGCTTTTCTCTCCGGTGACCGATTTGGAGGGAGGAGTCTCTGGTCTGTCCTTCGTCCTTATGCGAGTGGCGGTGAGACAAAACACCAGCATCAATGTGGGGTGACTACGATGGATCTAATTCACGCTTCAAAAATTTAATTGTCAACAACCCCCCATTCAACCCCCCATCCTTGAAACCAACTATATTGATAGCAGAATAGCAAATAGGCAGCAGCACAATATAAATTCACAAATTCAAACTGTACCCGGCAAGGCGACAGCAAAGGTGCAACACAAAAAACACCACAAAAGTCAAAGAGAGCCGACGCAACACACTGGGTTGCACTGTACTGGCAGAATCGATGCCGGAAACTGAGAGCTGGTGACTCGAGATGGCCGGACGCGCCCTCACGCGCTGGCGCGTGAAGAATGTCAGAAACTTTGAGTGGTGCGTGACGCCCACTCGCGAGGTTTCCGGTGACCGGATTTGGAGGGAGAGTCGATCGGCGGTCTGTCCTTCGTCCTTGGGTGGCGGTGAGACAAAAACACCAGCCTATGTGGGTGACCTAGATTGGAAGTCACCAAAAAATGCCCTCTGCCTATAGTTTCAACGCAAAAAAGAGCAAAGAAAAAAAAAATAACGAGCCCAGGGGTTCTGATACCATGTAGAAGAATGTGGAAAGTTATTGTTGTATATTTTTCATCAATAGGGTCACATATATATACATATACAGGATACTATAAACCTGTTAAGAATCTAACTTCTAACAGAACTCTAATTACAACTAGTCCTTAACATGAATCAATAAATATAATGGTTGGAGTTGTTGAGTAACAAATATCTATTTTGTACTATTTGTCATTTTGTGAGATGCAGAGTATAAAATGTCCAGCTTGCTTCTGGTCTCAATTGCAATATAATAAAACAGATTGTAGTCAGTTTGTTCAAGATTCTGAAAAGGTTGATGAACTGGAAGTTGAACTAAACTAAAATGCAATATATGCATGTCGTGTATGTATTTATATAATTGAAATGCTATATATATATATATATATATATAACAGTTTTGATGATGTTGGTTTGTTTGCTTTATTAAAAGGAATTCAGTGTTTATTGTATTACAATAAACTGAAATTCTGAGATATAAAAGAAAATTAATAAACCAACCAAATATTATAAATTCTGAGATTTTAAAGAAAACAAATAAACCAACCGAGTCATAATTAATTGGTTAATGTCATGCTATTTGGTTTAGTTCAATTTGATATTCTTTGTTACTTTGATTTGAATCCCTTAAACTGGACCAAGTGGAATGCTGTATCCTCTTGCTGCACACAACTTGAGGTTCAAACAACTCGTAATTAAGGCTGTCTAGTTTAATTCGTATGGCCACAGGCACTATGTGTTACAAGGATTCATACAAATCTGAGATTTCTCTAGGGATCACACTTAACGTTTATGAACAAAGAAGTCAACATTGATAGAACTTGTGTAGTTATGCAAGGCCTTATTTTTGCCCGGACAATCTATGTAGTATCTAATTGAAATGGGCAAGTCCAAAATAGAGTGTGCAGTTCTAATTTTATAATGCTTTACATGCATAAAATTTTTATTTTTCCATTATTTCCTTTTATCTTTATTTATTTATTTATTTTTATGAATATATGATAATGGTTACTCATTCTTCATTATTTGTAACTATAACCAATTAGTGTCAAATTTATGTTTGATATTTATGCTGAAGCTTTGCCTAAGATACGTATCTTTTTACAATGTATATAGAGGTGTGTGCAATATGTTTGTAAAATAGCTGGTAGAACCTAGAGACATCACCTAATCCTCCATAGGAACTTAATGAACATAAAAAGTTAAAACACTGAGTAGATTTGAGGAGATTGTCTTTCTTCTTCTAGGACGCCGTTATTAATTCTAGATGTATGTGATTGTAATAGTGAAAGATTTGGAAACCTCTTCTCCCTCAATATATTGATGGCAGTTATGTGCAGCTATGCATTTTCAATTGATAACAAGGCATACTTTGAAAATGACAATGTTATTACAAGCTTTCTCCTCCATTTTGGTAATCTTATATCTACTTGTTTGTTATCTTTCTATAATAACATTAATTTGCTATTATCTCTTAGCAACCCATAATTGCAAAAGCTCGTTAATGTAGCTAGTATCCAACTTTCCAAGTAAAATATTCAACTAAATTTCAGTGTCAAACTAATTATGTTTGTGCTGTGCTGTACTAAACCAAGCTTTATACGAGTTGTTGGTTCTAAACGATTTTTTCTTCACGGGATTGTATCATTTTTGCTTTCCTCTTTTTTCGCTGCTATTACTAGTATGATGGAGCATCCATGCATTCAGTCTTCATTAACTTGCTTTTTATTGGATTATTAAATCTATTAAAGGGACGGATTCATGTTTCAGAATTAAGGAGCTTATGGTATAGGTATTATTTCTAATGATGGTAGACAGTTTAGTTCCTCTCAACGGTATCTCTTTATTTGAAGGCTTCCGGAACTGTTTTCTTGAACAGGGCCCAGTGGTGGATATGCAGCATGAGGGTTTAATGACAATATATCTTTTCCTCCATCTTTTAGTGGATGCCTGATTCTGCATTTCAAGTAAGAACTACATCGTCAGTCAAGAAAACACTCAGATCTCATGATCAGCCTTCTAAACTGCTGAAACCTTTCAAAGTTACTATCAGCCAATATTAGATACTTGTTTTGGAATTCTTAGTAGGCTTGATACTAGTGTACTTTTAACAGAGAGTCGTTACTTGTGAGAAGGATAATAAGGTCTCTATACAAATTTCTGGTTTGAAGACTAGTTATATAGAGCTGTAAAAGAAAATCTGGAACAGTTCAACCAAAGTTACCTAACAGTTAGGAATAAGCACATGACGTAAATAAAAATTTCCAGAAGTTAGTTGCTCCACACAGTTAGGAATAGGCACATGATCTAACTAGTATTTTCTAGAAGTCGGTTGCTCCATTCATTCTGCTGGATGCTTGTTATGATTTAATATACACTTAACCATTCTGCAGTGCATCTACGTTGGGGCTGAAAAACGTTGGGTGACATAAAGTGTGGAGATCGGTTCACTCTGGAAGGATTCTTTTTCTAGACCCAGCTATAATAAGTTACTGTTGTCAAATGTTTGTATGCTATAATTCTCAAAGGGTTTTGGCATGCCAGCTAGTAGGAGTATCTTTCATTCTGTGGATTCACTATCCACTTGTTTTTTGAAGCTCAGGCATGGTTGAAACAAGAAAAAAACTTCAGAATAGCATTGTCTATCAATTTGTCAAAGTTATAGGAAGATAGGCCTAAGTTGATGGTTTCAGTAAACTTTCTACTAAGGCATTCAGCCAATATCCATCCAAATTTGATTGAGTGATGATGAAGATGGTATGGATATTGCTGCAATGATGCCTCAGTGTTAAGAAACTGGACTTAAAGCGTTGTGATGTGATTATAGGACATTTGAGTGAGTGCTGTTTTCCACATGGATGTGAGATTATTTTGTTGTGATCTCTGACTATAGCTGAAATAATATTCTTTGTACATATCTCGGATAGATACTCTTATTGCATGGCTAAATAGGCTGATATTGAAACTTCATCGACTTGGATGTGAAAAATTTTTGATATAGCAGCTACTTGGTTTGTGGTTCGTTTGTGGTTCCATTCTTCAATAGGATTTCAAATTATAGTTTTTTTAAACAATTTATTTATTTACCCACTGTTTGGTCAAGGAGTTACAAACCCTTATCCTAGTAAATAAAAAGGAAGTGATGGTTGCTTTGTTTGTCAGAAAAAATGGCCTTTCCTTTTTATAGTATAATTGAAAATTGAGTAACACTTTCTATTTTTGTGCAGTATTACATTGAGCCTACGACAGGTCGCAAATTCAGGTCCAAGAGAGAGGTTCAGTATTATCTGGAAACTGGAACTCTGAAGAAGAGAAAGAAAGGAGCTGAGAGTTCTGAAGCTGATGTTAATGTGAGAAATAGAAAACTATTTGCAATTAGTCCCTCTACTTTTGCTTCAATTCTTTTTCCCTAAACATTAGCTTAAATTACTTGTGCAGCCACCAGAGAATTCCGGGAGTCAAAACAACAAGAAGGCTGCCAAGAATGCAAAAGGTTCTATAATGAAATTTGATTATTTGAATGTACCTGATAAGATCGAATGGGCTCTTACGGTTGCTAATGAAGATGCATGGACCCCCTTCACTGGAGGGTCTAAGGTGCCTGAATATGAGAGGCAGAGTTGGGAATTTGAGATGATGCATTTCCATCGCTAACTGCAACGATTTTAACACAATGTTTTGAAGGCTTTCAGAATGCAGCCGAGAGAATCATCAAATAGTAGTCTCACTCTCGTAAAGGCCAATGACAGGTCTCTTTTTGCTCATTTTATATATATATATGAATTTTGAGGGATGATGCATTTCCATCCGCTAACTGCAACGATTTTAAACACCAATGTTTTGAATGCTTTTCCCAGGAATGCAGCCGAGAGAATCATCCAAATAGTAGGTTCTCCCACCTCTCCGTAAAAGGCCAATTGGACAGGGTCTTCTTTTTGCCTCATATACTATATATATAGTATACTATATATATATAGTATATTTCTTCTTATTCACTTGTGCTAAGATCCGCACTCACAACAATTGATTTTGTTACTAATTTGAAATGACTGAATACTGTTGTAAAGATTTCTTTTTTCACTGAAATTTGTTGGATATAGGGCTGTTCTTGTTCCATTCTTGGGCTTTTCAGTCATAGTGATTCCTTTATTCAGGTGTATGTAAGATTTTTTTGTTAAAGCTTCCTTCCCGGCATTTGTATTTCAACATCAAGCAGCCTTATTTTTATTTTACCATCTCAGGAATACGCAATTGACTATTACTTGAAAGAAAATGTAGACAACAGGTACTTGTATAGTTATTACTATTGCGTTATATTTGTGGTTTTTTCCTGGAACTTGAAATGCAATATGAAATTACTGCAATAGGATGACCACTTAAAGGAATATAAATGTTTGGTTCTGTTTGTTTATTGCTTTTTGAAGGGTAGGATTTGTGATTTGGGATAAATATGCTATTATATATATATATATATATATATTTCTCTTATTCACTTGTGCTAGATCCGCCACTCACAAAATTGATTTTGTATACTAATTGAAATTGACTGAATACTGTTGTAGCATTTCTTTTTTCACTGAAATTTTTGGTATAGGGCTGTTCTTGTTCCATCTGGCTTTCAGTCATAGTTTCCTTTATTCAGGTGTTGTAAGATTTTGTTAAAGCTTCCTTCCCGCATTTGTATTTCAACTCAAGAGCCTTATTTTTATGTTACCATCTCAGGAATACGCAATTGACATTACTTGAAAGAAAATGTAGACAACAGGACTTTATAGTATACTATTTTGCTTTATTTGTGTTTTCTGAACTTGAAATGCATATGAAATTATGCAATAGGAACACTTAAAGGGACATATAAATGTGTTCTGTTTTGTTATTGCTTTTTGAAGGTTTAGATTGTGATTTGATAAATATGCTATAGATCTAGGGTTTTTATTCTATGGATGAATAGATAACATGAAAAATATTTCCTTCTCATTTCAATTCCTTCTTTTCCTTTGGAGAAAGAAGAGCTCAGCTCAACAGTTGACAACCTTGTTGCAACCAAGCTACCAATTAAATAAAAAGGCAGGTGAATATAATAATTTTCTTTTCTTTTCTTTTCTTTTCTTTTCAAATCTTTTAATATTTAATTTCATAGGGTGAAAAGAATTACTATTAAAAGTGTAATTATAGCAAGTGAATAAATATATTATGTGAATAAATGTTTTTGATCAACCCATTATGAAGCCTAACATTTTGTGATTTTTGAATTAACCAGTAACTAGGACAAAATATCTTCTATTAGGATCAAAATGGATTTATGTACCTGTTTCTAGTTACCCATTGTTTTCTTTCTTTCTTTCTTTTCATTTTCTTTTTCACATGTGTTTATCTGGAGATAATTCAGATGGGTACGTAATCTACTTCTATGGATTCAATTGTTATTGCTGGTTGTTTTCAATGAGTAATGTTTTTGGATCTGAGGGAGCAAAGGAAAATCACGAATTTAACAACCAATTGAAACTTTTCAGCTATTTCGTTTGCATAACAAACTTTTCTTACCAAACAAAATACATGGCCCATGTATTTCTTAAATTAAATATTCTATCCGCTTTTTTTAAAAAATTAATTTTGCTCTCGTTAAAGTCGCAACCTCACAATTTCCCCATAACTATTATAGTATCAAAACACTATATTGAGAGTTTAAAACTCAATTAGCACCAAATTTCACGAACGCTTTAACTTGTACAATTTTTTATTGAACACTCTAATTTTTAAATTTATATTAATTAAATAATTAAAAAATATGAAAATTATTATTTTAAAAATTGTGTTGACAACACATCAAATCAATATCTTATAGACTAAAATACCAAAAAGTAATTGATTTTAGTATGAAAATGTGTATAATATTATTTAAATTTATAATTTTAAAGCTATAAAAGGTCGTAAAATTAAGGATGCTATAAGGATGAATTTTTTCTAGTTATAATTTTTCTTGGGACAAGGTAAGTGAGTTGGATGTGAAAAAGGAATCTATATAAAAAAAAATAATGCAAATAACTTATTATAAAAAAATGAAAATTATTTTTGAAAAATCAGAACTATATACCTTTTGTAAAATTTATATTTATTTTTAACATAATATATTATATTATTTAGCTTCAAGCTAGTAAGATAGGTTGAATATAGTCTTAATTGAATATTTTGAACATTTTAGATAGAAGGACTTTTGTTAATGGAAGTCATTAAAAAATATATTCATTCCGTTTGACCACAAGTGACTCTAAAAATATTTGCACATCAAAATTTAAAATATAAATAATTATAACTAATTAAATTGCCTTCTTAATAATTCTTTAAATTAAAGGACTTAATTTCTTTCTTCTTCAAAAAAGGGACTTAATTTCTTAATTAAAATAAATTTTGGACAATAATATAATAATTTATCCTTAAAAAAAAAAAAAAGAAAACTAAGGGGTATCACCGTCATAACGCTAAATGTGGAAAGCAGCTACCTTGATCAGTGGGCAAAGTCTCACTATAAAGAACAGTAACAGACTGAAAACAATCAAATCTGGTTTCTATCGATTAAAAATTAAAAATCTAATCTCGTTTCTATCACCGAAACTAAGAAACTATGGGCAGAAAGTTCTTCGTCGGCGGCAACTGGAAATGCGTACGTCTCCGATTTTGTTACTCTGTTTCACTGTCTGTAGCTCTTACTACTTCGTCGTTGCTTGTGGTTTTTTTTTTTTTTCTCTGAATTCTTTTTTTTTTAGAGAATTTGTGCCGTGGAACTTTAAGGATCTCTGATTCCGATCGCTATATTGTGTGATTTGAATAATCTTGTTGCGTTCATCTGCTTTGATTTTTGTGGTATATTTAGATCTGATTGGTTCAAATCGAACATTTAACAGTATTGGATTTGGCTATGAAATTGAAGCAACTTGTTTGCTAATACATTTAGTAATGGGTTTACTTATTTGTTTGTTTGTTTTGGTGTTTCAGAATGGAACAACTGAGGAGGTGAAGAAGATCGTCACAACCTTGAACGAAGCTGAGGTCCCTTCTGAGGATGTTGTGGGTAAGTTTCTTCTAAACTTAAAAAAGTGGAATTAGAATAATCAAACAGGTCCTGTATGTGTCTTTTTTCTGTTGCATTTCTGTTGGGAAATGAAATTTCTAATTCAACTTCAATTCTGTTCAACATATGCATAGTTAATGTTTTATCCTAGTTAGTTAGAAACTACAGCTCTGTCTTCGTAGCTATCATCAATAAGAAAGCTCTTAGGCTTGTAATGCAGAAACTTGTTCAGAAATATTTCAATGAAAAGAAGATAGGAGTTTGTTGCTTGACATTTGACCAAATAGGGCACTTGGGAAACAAAAACTATACACCCCCACTCGAGGTTTGTAATAAGCAAGATATATGCATTGTTCTGCTAAAAATGGTGTAATGAACTCATAATCCATTAGATACCTTGTGTGAATGTCAACTAAGTCATTTAGATTTGGATTCGGTTATTAGATATTGGTTACTCTCTAGCACATGCAATTCTTTGGGGTAAGTCAGAAAGACTATTAGCAATTTGGAAACCTTATCCTGTGTCAAAGTAACTATCTTCATTTCTTATGCATGTGAAGAGTGATACTGGATCTTACATAAGATGTGAAGTTCTAAACGAAAAGCAATCTGTAGAAAAATGTAGTGCATATAACTTGTGATATGGTATCTATGGGACATCTGTCTAGGGCCATGGGCTTTCATTTCCTTAAGTTCTTTTATATAGATGCAGAACAGTGAGAGATAATGCACCTCCTTTATGTTATAGTCGTCAAGTTGCTTGTGTCGGCTATTCAATATTCTTGCCCCTCTGTTTCTCTATGATTGTGTTTTGTCGTTTCACACAATTTGATTTCGGGTTTTTGATTCTGTTGTTGCTTTTCTGGTCTTTCAGAGGTTGTTGTGAGCCCTCCCTTTGTATTTCTTCCTTTTGTGAAAAGTCTGTTGAGACCTGACTTCCAGGTAGCAGCACAAAACTGCTGGGTTCGCAAAGGTGGTGCTTTCACCGGAGAGGTTAGGTATGTTTTACGACATCTGCTCCAATGCATCATCACTTTTTTTTTTTCTTTTCTCTGCGTGCTTGTGTTTGAGTTTTTCTTGCATACACTTGCTAGGCTAATGTTTTCTTTACAATATTATTAGTTTGAAATGCTGTTCACTCAAGTGAGTTATTGTATTTTGTATGGTTGAAATGATTTATCTGGCATGTCAGTAAATGAGGTAGCTTACATATTCTAATCATCCATGATGTTTTCTATGTGAACAGTTTCCATCTTTTGGTAGTCAGGATGAGCCTTGTTGTGTGTTGGGCTTATGATGATATATTTTATGACAATGTATAAGAACAACTATATGATAATGTAATTCTAAGATCTGAGATATTAAAACAAGATTGTTCTGGTCCATTCTTTCTTTAGCTTTTATGTTTAACAAGCAACTTGAAATTTGATCCTTGTATATATCCTTCTATTCTTGCAATTCTGTATTGCCTTTTAAATAACTGCATACTGTGATAGCAATGTTTCTTTACTTTGTTGTTCCATTATCTCAAGTTGATTTGTCTTTTGTGTGTAGTGCTGAGATGCTAGTAAATTTGAATATTCCATGGGTCATTCTAGGCCATTCTGAACGAAGAGCACTTTTAAATGAGTCAAATGAGGTAAGCCTATAACATTGCAATTGGCATATCTTATTCATTAACCATCTGCTATTTAACATGTAAAGCTTCTGGAGCACTTACTTCGGTGTACCACTGGTTTCTATCTCTCTCTCTTTCTATTTCTTTTCACATAATTTATTAAGTGTAATCCTTTGCGTGTCATTGCAGTTTGTTGCAGATAAGGTTGCTTATGCACTTTCTCAAGGTTTGAAAGTGATTGCTTGTATTGGTGAGACACTTGAGCAAAGAGAATCAGGATCTACAGTGGCTGTTGTTGCTGCACAAACAAAAGCAATAGCAGGTACTTCCAAATAGTTCGAGTTGCAAATTTCAGTTTAAAGATGTTGATGATTTGTTTCTCTAACCATTGGTTAGGGGAGGCTTAATTATAGATTGAGAGCTTAGAGAAGTTCCTGTATAGCTTAGTCTGTAACTGGCACCTTTTATTAGTAGAAAACTGAAGAATTTTTTTAGTGAATATAATTTGGATAATCATAAATTGGCCTTTTTTAGTCAATCTCGATTACAGATCATTGCCTTTATTTTGCAGATAAAATATCAAACTGGGCAAATGTTGTTTTGGCTTATGAACCAGTTTGGGCCATTGGTACAGGAAAGGTTGCAACACCTGCTCAGGCTCAAGAGGTAAGCCTAAAGTTGACTAAACAGTTGGTCAATGTTTTATTTCTATAACCATTAAGTTTACAGTTTTCTTCTTCTATCTCAGTTTATATATTTAAATTCCATAATTTGAGTGTATACTTGGATCTTGTAAATTGATTCTCAAGTGTTTGTGTGACTTGTATATCTTTTTTCTCCTTGCAAGAATGTGATATCAATTACTTTCTTTGTGCCAATTGTAAAATAATTTCTTCTTCCACGTAAGAAGGTATTATGATTGAATAACTTTCTGCTAAAGTATGACTCATTTATCTGTGATGTACTTGCAGCTGATAGTCCCTTCCCTTATTGGTATAATTAGTCTATGCATAGGACACCAATTGATGTTATGTTAAGCAGCTGAAGTATTTGAAACTGATCGTTTTTACTTCTTTTGGGTGGATGTATATGCCAGGTTCATTTTGAATTGAGAAAATGGCTTAGTGAGAATGTTAGTGCTGAAGTTGCAGCATCGACAAGAATCATTTATGGAGGTAACTTCAGTCTATTTTATTTTGGTGTTTAAAATTGACTGCTGTTGTTAGATTCAGTAGTCTGCTAATTATCATACAGCATCATGATTGTATGACATGGCATTTCCCAAACGTTTGTCGATGTATTTGCTCATGTATATCTGATGTGATGCTGAGGTTTGAGAGTTTGTTGCTCTCCATTTGTTTTTACTCCACCTTTCTGATTCTTTTATTCTTTTATTTATTTATTTTTCCTTATTTTTTATCTTTCTGTATTTTTTTGTTTATATCAGCCTGACTTTCTTGGCCAAGTTGTCTTTAGCCCTGCTTCAAATTCCTCACTTGTTCCTTTGTGATATTACTTTACTTTTTCTTTTTTCATTCGATGTTCTTCTAATGGCGAGGCCAAAGGCCTATAGAGGCTTAACTCGACTTGGTTATAATAATATTCTGTATTGTAAGAAGGTGAGAGATTCTTAACTCTTTCTAATGGTGGTTGTTTTGAGAGAGAGAGAGAGAGACATAGGGATTATTTGGAAAGAAGCAAAAACAGCAGCACCTAAAATTCATCGAGGAAAGGATATCCATTCCTATCTTCCTGATGTATATCTGCCAACCCGAAACTTACTTTTGCACATCTTATCTGACTTCAGGTTCTGTGAATGGAGGAAACTGCAAAGAGTTGGCTGCACAACCAGATGTTGATGGATTTTTGGTCGGCGGAGCTTCTTTGAAGGTGGTTATTTTACTGATACCACAATCATGGTTTTCCTTTTTGCTTTCTTGTTTTCATCTTCAGTGGCTGATTGTTACCCTTATTTCATTTTCAGCCGGAGTTCATTGACATAATCAAGTCTGCTACTGTCAAGAAGAGCGATTGAGGCCAACAGCAGCATGTTTCAGACATTAATGCTTAATATAACTAGTTTCAGACGTTCTTAGATATTTGTGGGCGGAACGCTCACAAGCACTTGTTGTGACGAAATAATAAGTTGATCCTGTTATTGGATTTTGTGCTGAGCTGAACTTCAAAGGGTTTATGTTTTGTATTTTCAAATTTGGTTTGCTCTATATATATATGGTTTATTGCGTTTTTCTTTTGTTTTTATTTTGTTGTGAGATCAAATGCAGTTTCAAGTTATCATACTACATCTTTAGATTACTGAGAAATGCAATTTGATGGAACGGGACGGGACCCAATCAAATTACACCTCAAATTTTAAATATTAGTATTAATTGTCTCTAGTTGTAAGGAAGACAAGTTAATAGTCAGTTTTATAGTAATTAAGAGGATAAAAAATTATGTTGTGATTTGTTTCTCTCGCTTTATTAAGTTGTTATTAGTAACTCGATTAACTAATTTTATAAAATTAAGTAGACTGATTAATATCGATCGAAAATCAAATTGTCATTTGTCAGTATGATTAAAGGTCATACAGTGTTTGCATTTATATATATATACCATTCAATGCCTTAAATAATAAACTTAGTTCTCAGACGTTTCCTAGATATTTTGTGGGCCCAGGGAACCCGCCTCACAAAGGCACTTGTATTGACTGTGACGAATTAATAAGTTGATCCTGGTATGAGGATTCTTATGTGCTGAGCTGAAACCTGTCCCAAATGGCGTTAGGGAGTTCGTAATGTGCTCGAGAGATACTCCCATATGACGTGAGGGCATTTTTTTTTCCAAATTTGGGGTTGCCTCCTCACCACTCGCCTAGCATATCTGCAATATATAGGGATTTTAATTATTGGCGTTTTTCTTTTGTTCTTTGTTATTTTGTTGTTGAGATATCAATATCGCAGTTTCAAGTTATCCATTACTACATCACTTTTAGATCACTGAGAACATTGCAATTTCGATGGGAACCGGGGACGGGACCAAATCAAATTACCCGATCCTACCCTTCAAATTTTAAATATTTAGTATAGGCAATCTGTGCTCTATGTAATTTGTTAGGAATCGGTACAAGCATATTCACCTAATTTAGTCAGTTTTCTATCTCTATACCTGCTCAGCTCTCTTCTCGGGACCTATGCTTCTATTGTTCATCTGCGTTTATTCAGTGAGTCTTAGATCCTGTTCAGATATCTTGCATAGTATTGTTGTGATCTGGTTGAGTCATGTAGCATATTGTTTTGCTATACTATATGTGTCATATACTTCGATTATATTTATGCTTCATCTGGGCATTGTTACATTTGTGGTCTACTCTCTAATATGGTGAAACACTTATCACTCTTCTTCTTTCGGCTTATCAGTCTTTTTCTGTATTGTTCTTTCCTGTCTTCACTCTATCGTTCCTATTAGTTGCGTTATCCTTAGTTACTTATGTTTGAGTCCTGTGTGTTCTTCTATCTGCGCTCCATGTGGCTTCTTATTTGCTTTTGATCTAATAGACTCCACATCCATGTTTTCGATTTCTTTATTCTGTCTGAGCAGTTCTAAAGCTTCCCTATCTCGTATCTCTGCTTTGTTGATTTACTGGTAAACTCCCGATTAACTAAATTGCTGACTTGATCTTCGCTGAAGCTCTACCTAATTCAGTAGTCTGTTAGACCTCGGTTATAGAGAATTTGCAGTATCGATATTGTGCAAAAGTGGTATTATAAGTATACTTTGTCCAGGACATATACTAATATCGGATCGAATAAATCCAATTGTTTCATTTTGCCCAGTTATGATGTTAAAGGTCATACAGGTGTTTGAATTTTAATGCATCTCTAGTATAATTTCTATGATGTGTTAATAGTTCATTCGTAAAAAACGAAAAAAACTTATAATATACCTATATATACTATATATATATAATATATGATCTGATATTCACCCCAAATCTTTATATCTTGATACCAAATTCTCCAAAGTTTGGGGTGCAATTAATCGAGTAGAATTTAAAATGCAAAGTAAGTGTGAGATTTATTTAATCGTTAGATGTTTAGAGTTCAATTTTATTTAACTTAAGTGCATCTATACTAAATATTTATTCCATCTTAGTGATTTAAGAGTGTATTTGTTGATATTACTCCAATCTGTTCAAAAATATTTATAAGAGTTAGCTGAATAGAAACCATGTTAGACAAACTTTCAGTAGTCCTAAATTCGATCTTTTGGGGTGTTCAAACAGTTAATTAACCTTTTATTTGGATTTCCTTGTAATACTCGAGCTGGATGTAGTAAAAACTCAACGAACTTTGCTCGTTCACGTTGAGATGAAAAAATTTATAAATGAAAAAGTTATTATTTATAATACGATTAAAATAAATAAATCATTATCAATAAAGATGGAAAGTAAATTCAAAATCATAATTAATTCCTAAAATCAAACAATTATTATTTTAGGATTGAAAATTGAAGGTGAATTATAATTTTAGGGAGTCTAATTTTTGTGCGGATTACACTCATGTGTTACACAGCCCTCTAACCGAGTTTTAAATTATGATCTTATAAGCATCTCTTTTTCAGCTTATAGTTCTCCTTTTGTAACCAGGAAAAAAAAAAAAAAAAAAAAAAAAAAAAAAAAAAAACAAAGCGTGAAGTGTAACACTCCATAGCTTAATTCAAGTTATAAAAGAAAAAAAAAAAAAAAAAAAAAAAAAAAAGGTGAGTAAACTCATAGCTAATTCAAGTTATAAAAGATGCATAATGCAGCCACATGAGGCTGTCCCTCAGAAAAACTTACAAGTCTAATTGGTGCATTAACTTTGGAAACAAAAAGCATTATTTTCTAACTATCATCAACAATTCTATTGTCAACCAACCTGATTAGGCCTTGGGCAATGCCATTTACACAGCAAAACTACACTCATTTCTCAATTGGGGTTTGAGTATTTTTCCAATATAGTTTACTTCTAAGATGATTTGGAAAACGCTAATCACTATAACTTAGTTTCTTCTTCTTCTTCTTTTTTTTTTTTTTCTGAAAATATAAAGGGATTTTATTCAAGGAAACATATTAAAAGAAGAAAAATGAAGCTCTCGAACAATAAAAAATAATAGTAGCAAAGGTAGTCAATCTACTACATGCAGGCTTTATTAGAGAGCTGCAGACAACCTGCTGATTGGTTAGCCAATAAAGTCTTCATTACCAAGTCTAATGGAAAATGATGTCTTTGTGTTGATTTCACTGCTCTGAACAAGGCGTGTAAGGAATCCTATTCATTACCAAAAATTTATTATTTGGTGGACTCCACATCAAAATATGAGACGCATAATTTTATGAATGTTGCAGCTGGATATCATTAGATGTATCATTAGATAATGACGAATGAAGAGAAAATGAGCTTCATCACTAATAAAGGGACATATTATTACAGAGTATTAATCTTAAACTTGAAAAATATGGAAGCAACTTATTACAAGTTGGTTAACCATGTGTTCAAAAAAAAGATAGGAGAGGCAGTGGATGTCTACGTGGATAACATGATTGTCAAGATTAAATAGGCCAGGGATTATCCACAAGACTAAGCTTGAGCATTCTTGATGTTAAAGAAATATGAAATGAAGCTTATTCCTTAAAAATGTGTTCTTGATGAGGGTAATAAAGATCCCTAGCTTCATGATTTCACAAATAGAATTTGAGGCTAAACCTAAAAAGGTCCGAGCATTATTTTGATCTCTCGACTTCCACCATCTTTCGCAATTTGATCTGAGAGAGATTTAGCAAGGCACTGATATTTTTCCATATCCCATCCTTGGTAACAAATTTACCTTACAGCTGATTAACAATAAGCTGTTAGTCACTACATATCTGAAGTTTATTTGCTCATACATTTATCGTCAGCTTGATGCCTTTTGTTAGGGCTTGGTATTTTGTTATATGGTCAGTGGTAAGAAAATAGAGTTGAACGACATATGTTAAAGATTATTTTGTATGGTTTGTATTGCACCATAGCACCTGATCCCAGAAAATTTAATTCTCTAAGTATAATGTCCACACCTTTGGCTTGGTCTTATCAACTTCTCATTCCCTTCTCTAGAGATCTCTACAATAAAATTTGCTAACACTTGGGCTCTCAAAACTAGTCATGACACGTATCTGATGTCAAACTCTCCAAACTGAATTACAGACCATTATGCCAGGTTTCTGCTCATTGTAAGACCTTCTCAAGACATAAACAATATCAGACTGAAAGTAACGCTGCAATCTTGTTGTCAATGTGAATATAGCAAATGGTAGCTTCTCTATGTTCGAATAGTTCATCTTTACTCCAGCGAAACTCTATTAACATAGTAATACCCTCTTCTTCTTGAACCAACATAAAAGCTACAATTTCTTGAGTGGTTGCTAAATAGTGACAAAATGACTTGCATGTCTTTAGTCTGCTTAATAAATGGGGCAAGCCCATGAACTCTTTTAAAGAGTCAAAGGCAAGCTGACGTTCCTTAATCCACTTGAAGTCTTTTAATTTTTAAGAACTCATAAGCAGGAGATGAACCTTTTCAGGATAAAGATTCGCTCATTGAACTTTTAAACTTCATTTATTCTTTTGGGTGAAAGCACTCTCAAATACCAAACAGAGAATGGTTGATGCTATACTAAAAATAGCAGACCGAGTAAAAACATTCTACGACGAAACATGGTAAAAGTATAAGAGGGCCCAAGCATTAATAAAATTGAATCTTTTCCAACTTCAATGGAAGAAGATAAGAGGATGACACCATCATCCAATATTTAGAGCAAGGAATCTTATCGACCGAGCCAAAAGAAGCCTTAAAGTTGGTGCAGAAAATAATAATATATTCCTATGATTAAGGAATCCTATATAGGCAATTTAAGTCACACCCTAAGGCCAAATGTTTAACAGTGAAAAAGAGAGGTTATGTCATGAGAGAAGCGCATGAAGTGTTTTACAAAGCACACGAGGATTCAGATATCATTATTCGATAAATATTTTTAATTTGTTAATATTTGCCCGTGCTCAAAATGGATGCTCGGATAATGGTATAAAGCTGCACATAGTGTTGGAAGTTTAAATATAATTTTGAGCAGATAGATGGTAGTGATTTACATGCAATTTAAGAGAATGTAGCTCACCATTACTCTAATGCTTAGCTCGCACTTATCCTTGATGAACATGTTGGATTTAATTTTCTATTGTGGG